CTTTCTATTTTCTCTTCTTTCTATTTTTTCTTCTTTCTATTTTCTTTTCTTTCTATTTTTCTTTCTTTCTATTTATTGCAGTAGCTTACTGTATAAATATGCCCATTGGCAATAGAATGAAACATATCAGTATTCTACCATTCCAAAACACTTATGTGTATGTGTGTGTGTTGGGGGGGGGGGGATGTGGATGTATATAAAAAATTAAAAATCATATATTTATTCCCTATTTTCAGCAAATTATTCTAAAAATGTGCAAAGAAAGACAGAAATTATTCTTACTATCCTCTGTAGTTAGATACCATGTTGGTGCATGTGTGTTATGAAAGAATTATAAATTTGAAATACGAGGTACCTGTTCTTGGCACCAGAGAAATATGTAAACCCAAACTGCATTTTGTTCTGCTAGTAACATGTCATGAAAAAGGTCATGATTTATGAAACAGGGAATTTTATTACTTTTGTTTATTGTTTATATCATTAGGGGGTGGTATTCATTGAACATGCATTCTTCCCCCCTCCATTGTAAGCAATTACAGGACCAGACCCATTTGGCCGGCCGCTAGGGGTTTCTGCTTGGGTGTTTGTCTGCTACTTGAGATTTTCCCAGGGTAACATAGAACATGCAAAGCTCAAAATTGCCTCACTTTTCTATGGAAAATAGAACCTTTCTGTTGTTTTAGAAAAAGGAAGTTTCTAACTACTGTTTTGGTAATTAGCTTGTAACATTTATTTTTTATTTTGAATGGTAGTGATCACCTTTTAGGTTTATTTTTGAGGTGCCCTTTTGAATTTTCAGTGCTTTTCTTGTTTATTTATTTATTTCCTTTCTGTATCAGGCACCTCCTGGTACTGCAAGGAGGAGGAGGAGATCAGAATCTAGGAGGCAATTTGCAGATTCAACATCAGCAAGGCCAAACCCTCATGGTTTTGGGACCAGGACTTGAGAATTAAATCTAATCCACTGCTGAAGGTTCAGATCACCGTTCATTCCTCAATACCCCCCCCCCCGGGTAAACTCTAAAAAAGAGGGCCCATTCTTCTGTCTACTTCTAATCTAGTACTCATTATAGGATTACCAGGTATTTTCATGAAGCAGAAATTCCTCGAGTTGTCAAAATGAGTTAAAAAACTTAGTATCCAACAAGTAATGTAAGAGAAAATTACTAATTCAATTAATTAATTAAATTCTGTGTTCTAAATGCAGAATGAATACTTGCAATTCAGAAGGATGGGAAGTTGCTATATATTCTATGGTTTTGGCGTGAATCAAGCAAATGTGTTTTGTTCCACCAAAAGAAGTATAAACCAAATTTGTTTTGGAGGGCCATTGACAAAAACTAAATGGATGTGTTATAATTTCTACTTTTAAATAAGCATTTACAAGATTTCTATTTGAGTTGAGCCTATTCAAAGATAAACACAGACAAATCCTTGTGAAATCCTACTGGTGATTTCGTGTTTTTAAACATGGTTGGGCACAACCAACCACTTGGCGTATTTCAAGATTTGGATCTAAATGTTGTGTATCTATATGGTTGGGCACAACCAACCGCCTGGTTTCTGCTGTGGTGCCCAGCAACTGTAATGGCGTTCAAGAAACAAGGTGTTGCTCCAGTGGTGTCCACCAGAAGCGGAGAAGACGACAATTTGCTCACTAAAAGATGGTCATTGAAGGCAGCGGTAACATCCTGTTTTAACTAAAGTTGCAGGATTGTAATGGACAGTAGCAGATTTGTGATACGTGCATGCATGCAGCAGCCGAAGACCCGGTCAAAGTGGATAGCAGCAAAAAACCCGGTCATGTTAGCTCTTAGTTGGGATAAGCCTTATCCATTCAGTTTTAATTCTGTTAGAATAGATAAGTCTTCAATTCTGTTCCTAGATAAGTGCATTCTGTTTCCTAGATAAGTGCATTAGATAAGTCTTCAATTCTGTTCCTAGATAAGTGCATTCTGTTTTTTTTGTTGATAAGCTCCTAAGATTAAGGGACAGTAGTTCCTATTTCTACTCCCAGTTTGTAGCACCATAAGGCTATAAATATAGCCTGAATGAATGGAGTTGGCATTGGCTTTTCTACAAACAAACTCTCTCTCTCTCTTCTCCTTATTCTAGATCCTTCTCCCTCTTGTTAGATAACTTGAGCGTATCAATTTGATTTCAAGCTGAGAGTTGGATCAAGTTCCCGGCTTGGATCTTATCGAAGAAAACCGTCTAGTCTGGTTTAATTTTCATATCAAAATGGTTTGGCTTGGTTTGGTCTGAAAATTTCTCCAACCATAATATACTGATTTAGCCTGAGATCTTATTCACCGGCACCGTATCCAACCAGGAATACCCCTAACCAAATGATAATGCCAGAGAAAGATAAATTTTGAACAAGATGATGTGCAGGCACAACTTCTTCGACCATTAAGACACCGAGAAAAGAAGGCAAGAGACCAAGCACCTACATCGACAATAATGAATTTAATGCACCATGGGCATGGAAGATCAGTTGAAACCTCCAACAGCGCGCAGCTTAGAAACTGTTAGAGTGTTGCCTGCAATTAGAACATTGATTAAACCTAATTCAGCAGTAAACATAATCCCAGTCTTCAAATGTTGATATCAGCAGGTCAAGAGTTGCCATATCATGATAAAAGCTGTTACGATACTCATCCTCACGCTAACCTACACATTTCCTCCCTTGACATGCTTACTATAGTTATTCATAACACACCTACCCTTCCACCCATTACCTTACCAGATGACTTGTCAGCCAAAGTTGCTTCTATTGGCACCACCACGCTCTCATACACTATGCATCTAGACAATGTCATACACCTACCCTCATTTAATTTCAATTTGTTATCCATAACCAAAAGTACCAAAGCCTTAAACTGTTCTGTCACCTTTTATGCTAATCATTGTGTTTTTCAAGACCTATTGACGAAGATGGTGATTGGGTTGGGTAAAGAACGCGACAGTCTGTATCACTTTGTGGGCTCTCCATCAACTTCCCTTCTCACTACCATCAAAGACTTTGACCTCTGGCRTTGGTGCATGGGACATCCTTCTGATGCTCACCTCGCAACCATAAAAAACACCTTACACCTACCTACCACTGCATCCACTAACCATCAATATGACGTTTGCCCCTTAGCTAAACAAACAAGACTACCTTTTCCTTTAAGCACCATCTCTACTACAGTTCCCTTSGAACTCATCCATTGTGATATCTGGGGACCTTACTTGTTCCATCTCTAATTGGAGCTCGCTATTTTTATTTATCGTTGATGATTACACCCGTTGTACTTGGGTTTTTCTCATGCAATATAAATCTGATACCTTTGACTTACTACAATATTTCTTTACTTATGTTTCTACTCATTTCAATAGATCCATTCGTTTCTTACGTTTTGATAATGGATGGGAATTCCGCTTCCGACCCATGGTCCATTTTCTACAATCCATGGTGTCATTCCCTAACTTAGTTATGTCTCCACCCCCCAACAGAATGGGGTGGTTGAATGAAAACACAGACACCTCGTTAACGTTGTCCGTGCTTTGCATTTTCAAGCAAGACTCCCTTTAGTTTTTTGGGGGGATTGTATCCTTGCCGCCATATACCTTATTAACAKWGCCCCCACTCCACTTCTCCAAGGACGTACACCTCATGAACTTCTTTTTAGTCGTCCTCCTGCTTACAAACACCTACGCGTCTTTGGCTGCCTTTGCTTCGCTTCCAACGGCCATTTCACACATGATAAGTTCATCTCTCGTGCCCGCTGTTACATATTTCTTGGCTATCTCATGGCTACAAAAGCTACCGTGTCTATGATCTTGAATCTCATACAACATTCATCAGTTGTGACGTAATCTTTCATGAGGATTCCTTCCCTTTCCTCTCTCATTCCTCTCCATCTAGCTCTCCCACCATTGTCCTTCCTACACCCGTCCCAGATATCACAGTCCCTTCATCAAGAACCCCAACCAGCCCTTCCACACTTCCCATAACTAAACTGACCTCCCATACACCAACACCAATCCCCTTTGAACCAGAAACTGTTCCATGCACAAACACCCCACCTAATGCTTCCACACCAGCTACCGCACTACGACGTTCCACTCGACCTCACCGCCCACCAACCCACTTACGTGATTACTGTTGTAGCGTTCGTCACCCGCACCAGCATCCATCATCTTCAGGTATGCCCTACCCCATCTCTGACTTTCTCTCATATGCCCACATCACACCCAAACACATGGCCTTTCTCACCTCCATTTCCTCTACCTCTGACCCATCTTCCTTCTCTATCGCTGCCAAAGAACCATGTGATGCCATGGCTGCTGAGATAAAAGCTCTAGAGGACAATGGCACTTGGGTTATTACTGACCTACCCCCCTGCAAACGGGCCGTAGGCTGCAAGTGAGTTTTCAAGACCAAATATAATTTTGATGGCACCATTGAAATACACAAGGCTCGTCTTGTTGCCAAGGGCTTTATACAAACCGAAGCCACTTTGAGATGTTTACTTGCTATAGCCACTACCCAAAATTGGCACCTATTTCAACTTGATATGAAGAACGTCTTCCTCCACGGTGACTTTAATGAGGAAGTTTATATGAAAATACCTCCTGGTTTTTCTAAACAGGGGGAGAACAAAGTCTGTTGCCTTCTCAAATCCCTCTACAGCCTCAAAACAGGCCTCCCGGAATTTGTTTGCCAAGTTCTCTTCAGCTTTGCTTGTGCATGGTTTTCAGCAATCTCGGGCTGACTATTCACTTTTTACTCGACATTGTGGCACCTCTTACACTGCAGCTTTGGTATATGTCGATGATATATTATTGGCAGGTAACGACATTGCTACAATTAATGCAATCAAAGCCTATCTCCACTCTCAGTTCCATCTCAAAGATCTTGGAGTATTGAAGTACTTCCTAGGCTTGGAAGTTGCTCGCTCCCCTTTTGGGATATTTCTYTCACAACGGAAATACACTCTTGATATTCTACATGATTGTGGCCTCACAAATGCCAAACCTATTGCTTTCCCCATAGAGCAAAACAGTCGTTTCGACGACACACAGGGTGAACTTCTAGTCGATGCCACTCGCTATCGTCGTCTTCTTGGACGCCTCCAATATTTGACGGTCACCCGTCTAGATATTTTGTACGTTGTGAATACTCTCAGTCAGTTCTCTAGCAAACCGACGAATGTTCATTGGGATGCTGCTCTTCACATCCTTCGCTACATTAAAGCCACGCCTGGCCATGGCATCTTTTTCAGATCCACCAGTTCACTTCAGCTACACATTTACTGCGACTCCGATTGGACCTCTTGCCCCACCACACGTCGCTCTGTAACAGGTTATTACTGTCTCCTTGGCGATAGTCCCATATCATGGAAGTCCAAGAGATAATCGACAATTGCTCGTTCATCAGCCGAGGCTGAGTATAGTTCCATGGCCTCTGCAGCATGTGAAGCACAATGGCTCAGTTTCCTACTACGAGATCTCGGTGTCCCTCTCCAACCCGCTGAACTCTACTATGATAATCAAGCCACCTTACACAATGCACATAATCCGATCTTCCACGAGCACACCAAGCATGTAGACCTCGACTGTCACTTTGTTCGCAAAAAATTGCAGTCTGGTCTTCTTCGAGCTTCTTACACTCCTTCGTCTCAACAGTTGGCAGGCGTTTTTACCAAGCCTCTTGGCAAGAACCATTTTTCTACCTTGGCTTTCAAGTTGGTTCGAACCATCTTCTCTCAACTTGAGGGGGAGTGTTACGATACTCATCCTCACACTAACCTACATGTTTACGTGATTGGTTTTGATTAAAATCCTACCCCTCGTCCTGTATTCTTATCCAAAGGAGTCAGACTCCTACTTTGATTCTATCTTTTGACACTGGAGCCAATTAATTCTTTTAACTAATTCAATTAATTAATTAATTCAATGCAGACTGAAGAGTCATTCATTTAAAAACTTTGGAAAAATAAAAAGGCAAATTTCTTAAACGTTTAACTAATTGACTAATTCACCTTTTAATAATTGTCTAAAACCTCACTTGTCGTTAAGTTTGGTCACACTTACTTAACATCTGAAATAACGTGATTAATATTTTTTTTAATTCCTAAAATATCCTTACTGTTTCTATCTTCACTCAGGCTTGCCCCAAACCACTCCCCATCTTCCACTACCGTCAAGCCGAGTACACTTAATCCGCCGTTCTCCTCCGGTTCTCTCAAGCTTCATGAGTTTAATGCAGAGGATGAGAGGGAGCAAAGTTGTCGGTCTGATCATAGACTTGGACAGAGGGTCCAAACTTCCGTTATCTGTTGTCACTCACTCACTTTATCCAATGCGCTGCGACCTTTGCTTCTCTACTCCTCGCCCCTGCTGTAACAACCACACCTGTGGTTTGTCCTCAGAGAACACCGTTACCGGCACTATCACAAGACGTGATAGCCTTGACTCTATATATGGATCAGAGTCTGGCCCAATTGCTGTCGCCCTTCACTTCTTCTCGTGTGGGTGTGCCCCAACACCCCTCTTGTCTCATCGGCAAGAACTCTAAGAATTTCGTACTCAGCATGGACGATAACGAGGAGGTCACTAACGAGTTCAATGAGGTTAAGCTTTGGTGGTCTTCCAACAACAGATCCACCGCCACTCAGAACTTCTCTTTCTATTATCCCCTTGCTGCTTCCGAGAGGCTCTTCTACAAGCTCACCTTCCATGGGTGCCACCGTGACCTTATCACCCTCTCCTACCTCAATCATATCTTGGACCACGACAAGGCTGTTTGCTTTCAAAACCGGCAGCACAAGCTTTTAACAAAAAATCCTAACTCCAATTGGCACGGCTACAAGAGGACGGTTTGGAGTGATGTGGTGTTCAAGCACCCAGTGACGTTCAACACACAGGCGATGAACCCCGTCAAGAAGGAAGAAATCATCAATGACCTCCTTGCTTTCAGCAGAGGAAGAGGCGAGGAGAAGGACCCACTTCCGAAGCATGCCAAAGAAGAGGCCAAGGAAAAAGACAACAGTTACGCTCTCTGGGCTTCTGAGTTTCATCGATGGACTGTGGTCTGCCCGTGGTGATGAGAGACTCGTCTTCTTTACTACCAACCATGTGGAGAAGCTGGATCCGGCTCTCATAAGGAGAGGTCGGATGCGGAATATGGCTTTCAGCCTTCTATCTAAGACCAAAAAAGTGCATAATCAGATGTTTTTGGACTATCCGATCTATGTATGAAACTTTAAAATAGTTCAAGTGGAATTTCATATTTGTTTGCATGACACAGGATTTTAATAAAAATTTAAACTGATTTCTTTTTGCATTTCTACTTTTTTTTTTCCGTGTATAAGATTTTGGCCAAGAATTATTATTTGAAACTGGACTTCCAGAGACTATTTGGCCGAGTGTTTGATGCCTAAGGCTCTTTGGTGGAGATGCTGGCACTACTTGCTTGGAGAATCTGATCAATGCTTTGGAAACTGTGAAGGAAGAAGCTTGGTTGAAGGAGGAAGAAGAAGAAGAAGAAGAGACCGAAGAGAAAGTCGAGGCATCGGCTAAAGAGAAAGAAGTGTCGTCAAGGAAAAAGTTGAAATTGTACTTAGTGGAGGGTAAATTCAACATTTTGTTTTTTTCTATTAGCACTTAATGGTGATGTTAATTTTCAGAAACAATAGACTGTGCTTTGTTGTTGGAATCTGTTYCTCGGGAGTCCAGATCCACTCTTCACACCAATCTCACAGTATGTCTTGGCCGCACATGGGGAACATCTCTTGTACTTGCATTTATTATTCATGGGGATATTCTCAATACATGGCGGGATGTGGTTGTGAGGTTGGTGTGAGGAACAGATCCCATTTCGTTTTTCACAAAGTATTCCTCATACCAACCTCACAAGTCACAGCATACCCCACTGCATTGGGAAATTCAGGTTTTGTCCACACCATCTAAATTCACATTGGCCTCATTCTTATAGTCTTGTATTGAGAATATCTCCCATGAATAAAATCATACAAGTACAGAAATGTTCCAGCAGGTATAGTTAAGGACAAAATCCTTGTTCTGCATTAAAACATCTCTCCATGAATAATAAAGATTGAACCTGTGGCCAGAGAAAACTGAAAATGTGGCTGAGGAAGTTCCCTTTGTAAGGTGGCAAAGACATGAACCCAGTCTCATGCGTTTCACATACAGATCTGCCAAAATCTCAACATCTGCAATCTATTGACAGGATCAGTATATATATATTGACCAGATCAGCATTTGCACAGGCTCCAGTGCTTCCAACATGATATTCATCCAAATGGTTGAACTATTCAAACCGTCACTCCATGATAATTTCAGGTCTAGTTTTTCTAAAACCCAAAATTTGACCCAGAAATATTGCTTTGCTCAAAACCCGTTTGACTTGGGTGGTTGAAAACCATTCAAACCGTGACCTGGTCACAATTCCAGGAGGTCTGGTTTTCCTAAAACCTAAAATTTGACCAAAAACTATTGGTTTGGTCAAACACATTCGACATAGGTGGTTGAATTGTTGACCCATTCAACCCAATCATCGGTCACAGGTTACACATTAAAATTTTCTACCATTTTTTATAAATAAAACTTAAAACTGAAACAAAAATATAAATTAAACAAAAAAATAATATAATATATACATACATACATACATACATACATACATATAATACATATACATATGTGTCATGGTCTAACAAATCCAATTTGAACAGTTGAGTTGGTGACCTACAACCTGGAGGTGTAAAACTTTGTGGAAATTGTTGTTCATTATGCAAGATACATCCTATATATATACAATTCCTACGCCTGAATTTTGGAGGTTCAGTTGCTGTAGGAAATTACTAATTACAAGTTCCCAAAGAAATCTAGGGAACTATTATCCAAATACATCTAGGAAACTACCAATTACACATGCATGCATGAAGAGTCCCAATACAGAAAGGTTACGTGGAGATTTCCCAATACATGAAGGTTTCCCAATACTCCCCCTCAAATTGGCGCATGCAGATTCCGAATACCCAATTTGCTAAGGAAATATGCAAATTTMTCTTTTCCAAGAGCCTTCGTCAAGATGTCAGCCAACTGCTCTATGGTTCGAACATGGCAAGTAAACAATGTTCCCACGCTGAAGCTCATCGCGAACAAAATGACAGTCGACCTCAATATGCTTTGTCCTCTCGTGGAACATTGGATTTGCGGCTATGTGCAAAGCTGTCTGATTGTCACAATACAATTGCACAGGTTCATTATGCACCACCCCAAAAGACAAAAGAAGTTTCTTCATCCACTTCAGCTCATAGCTTGTCGCAGCCATCGAACGATATTCGGCTTTTGCAGAGGAGCGCGACACGGAATGTTGTTTTTTTGTTTTCCAAGAAACCGATGGCTGCCCCAGCAGAACAAAATAACCAGTCAACGACCGTCGCGTGAATGGGCAGCTTGCCCAATCAGAGTCGCAATAAGCATATAAATGCAGATCGCTATCAGAACGGAACAATATACGTTGTCCCAGATATCCTTTCATATATCGCACTACGCGCAGAGCTGCCTCACAATGTTATTGTCGTTGACTTTGCATGAACTGAGCTAGGATATGAACACAATAACACAGTTCAGGTCGTGTAATGGTTAAGTAGATCAACCGTTCCACTAATCGTCGATACTGATTCGGATTTTCCATTACAGCGCCCTTTGCCAGCGCAAGATGATGATTCTGTTCAATGGGCACAGATGTTGGTTTGGTTCCCAATAGTCCACATTTCGAGATGATGTCCAGGGCATACTTTCGTTGAGACAAAAATATTCCCTCAGGGCCACGAGCTACTTCAATCCCTAGGAAATATTTGAGTGGACCTAGATCTTTCATATGGAAGCATCGATTGAGATATTCTTTGATTTTTACAATGACAGCAGTATCATTTCCCCCAACAATCAAGTCATCAACATATATCAGCACGTGCAAACAAACATTGTGTTTGAAATAGGTGAACAAAGAGTAGTTAGGATACGATTGAACAAACCCAAACTGTATCAAGGCCGTTGTTAACTTCGAGAACCAACATCTGGGAGTTTGACGTAGTCTATAGAGAGATTTCTTTAGTTTGCACACTTTTGTTCGATCCTTAGATGTAAAACTTGGCGGCAACTGCATGTATACCTCCTCATTCAAATCCCCATGTAAGAATGCATTATGTACATCCATCTGATGTAACTCCCAGTTCCTAGCGGCTGCCACGGCTAAGAAGGTTCGGACTGTCGTCGGTTTGGTCACAGGAGCAAAAGTCTCATTGTAATCTAACCCCTCAACCTGTCTATTCCCRAGAATAACTAGGCGCGCCTTATGCCGTTCAACCGTCCCATCTGAATTATATTTGGTCTTATAAACCCATTTACACCCTATTGCCTTTTTCCCGGGAGGTAGAGATTCCAATGTCCATGTACCATTATCCTCCAGAGCCTGGATTTCCTTCCTCATAGCTTCTCTCCATTTCTTACTTTTTACTGCCTCAGAAAATCTGGTAGGCTCGGCTCTTGCAGTGACTGCAGCTAAGAAAGCTTGATGTCTAGCAGAGAAGTTAGTACATGTCACATAATTTGCTATGGRATAGGRRGTYGTACCYGAGGRCTTTGATTCAGAGTTGGCTTGAGTGTGAATGGGGTCTTTCAAACATCGAGCAGTGTAGGTTACGTAGGGCTTTAACAAAATAGACGACATGCGATGTTGATGTCCCCTGCCAAGTTGCTCTTCTGGTGTTGTTTGTGGTGCTGGATCCACACTAATTCCATCCTCTCCGCCATTAACTTCCACTTCCTGCACACCCCCTCCATCGCCTTGCTCCTCCTTTCTTCTATTAGTATTTTGAAGGCTTTCCCTATCATTCACACAAATATCGTCTTCGTCACTCCCCCTGTCTTTATTTCCTCTGTGGTTGTGTAAAACACCATCATCAACCACAGCCACAATTGTCGGGTCAGAGTTGTCTTCAAGAGTTACTTCTAAATCACCGGCATATGGAAATATATTTTCATGGAAGACTACATCGCGGGAGACAAAATATTCACCTCTCTCAACATCATATATGCGCCAGCCTTTCTTTCCGTAGGGATAACCTACAAAAACACACTTCCTACTCCTCGCTCCAAACTTATCCTTATCTCGAGGACTCCAATGAGCATAGCAAAGACAGCCAAACACTCTCATTTGCTCGTATTGAGGTATCATCCCGAACAGTACCTCATACGGAGTCTTCCCGCCAAGTACGGAAGAAGGTGACCTATTTATTAAGTATCCAGCGGTCAAGACACACTCCCCCCAAAAACGAATAGGCAAACCTGCTTGAAACCTCAATGCTCTCGCAACATTCAAAATATGCCTATGTTTTCTCTCCACTCGACCATTCTGTTGGGGTGTTCCAACACAGGAAGTTTGATGCAGAATGCCATGAGTCTCAAAGTATGATTTCAGGCGTTTAAACTCTGTTCCATTATCACTTCGAACAGCTCTGACTTGCTTGCCAAATTGGCATTCTGCCATAGCACAAAAATTCTTAATAATATGTGCTACTTCACTCTTTTCAAGTAACAAGTAAACCCACACAGCATGAGAATAATCATCAACGATGGTTAGAAAGTAAACGGCACCACAAGAGGTAGGTACTTTATAAGCACCCCATGTATCACAATGRATTAGAGAAAAACAATCATCAGCTTTATGTTTACTTTTAGGAAAAATTTCCCTAGTTTGTTTTGCTCTGTAACAAACATCACATGGCTTATCTCTTTCAGGTCTACTGTTTAATTTACCTACTTTAGGAAGAAAAGATAATGTCTGTTTAGACGGATGTCCTAATCTGCGATGCCACAACTCCCATTCACTCATTCCACTTGTTCTATTCGTCCGAACCGGTGCTGCTCCTCTAAAATGATAGACCCCATCACACTGCTCACCCGCTCCAATCAGAGTCCTCGAGGTTTGGTCCTGTATCACRYACAGCTTGTYAGTAAAAGTGACAGTACAATTTATCTCTTGCAATAATTTAGCTACAGAAATAAGGGTGCAGTTCATTTTTGGAGGTCCCTTCCTTCACTGCAGTAGTTTGCTNTTGGAGGTCCCTTCCTTCACTGCAGTAGTTTGCTTCCCATTGGGAAGTTCCACCGGACACGGTGTAATATTCCGAACATCAATCAATAAATTAATTTCTCCAGTCTTATGGTGCGACGCCTCGGAATCAATTATCCAATCAGTAGAATTTTTCTTACCGAAAAGCCTTTCTATTCCACCAGATTTATGTGAATTCAGAATCTTGAGAAGTGTTGTCCATTGATCTCCACTCAGCTCCAGAAACCCGCTACAATCATAATCATTTGTGGTTCCAACCTTCTGTCCTCCAGTCTCACTTCCCGCTGCTTGGGTAGCGTTTGCTCTTGTATTGTTTCCTCGTCCACGTCCGCCAGCACCCACGCCCGAACCACTTCGCCGGCCTGCTCCTTTCCTGGTAGAGCGTGGTCTATCTCCCCACCATTCTGGATATCCGATCACCTGAAAGTAGTCATTTGCTTCATGTCCAAATTTTCCACAATGTGTACAACTCACGTTTTTATCCTTCGTACATGCAGCAGCTGCTTCCGCACCAGCACCTACATGTACCGCAAAACCCACGGCATCACTTCGCTCTTCTTTGCTCTTGGCTATACTTTGATGCCTTTCCTCTTAAATGACAATTGCATAGACACGGTTCAAACTCGGCAACAACTCCATGCTCAAAATATTCGAACGCACGGTGCCATAATTTGCATCGTCAAGGCCCATCAAGAACTGATGTACCCTCTCTTCTTCTCGCTTCTTTCCAAGTATGGTCGCAATTTTGCAGTTGCAACCGCTACAACGACACGTGGGTACTGGACCATAATCTGCCAGTTCGTCCCACATGACCTTCAGCTTCCCGTAGTAAGCCATCATTGCTTGTCCCTGTTGTTTACAAGCAGCCAAATCAGCCTTCAATTGATGGACCCGAGGTCCATTCCTGATAGAAAATCTCTATCGCAGATCCTCCCACATGTCTTTCACGCTCTCCGTATATGATATAGTAGATCGCAAGGTTGGTTCGATTGTATTGAAAATCCATGCAACCAGCATTGAATTCACCATCCACCAATCTTTGATGTCGGTCGAGTCATCTGTTGGTTTACCCAACGTTCCGTCAACAAACCCGAGCTTTCTCTTTGCTCTGAGGGCGTTTCTCATGGATCTCGCCCATTCCTCATAGTTCTCACCTTTTAATTGAATAGGTGAGATAATCATTTCAGGGTTGTCAGACGGATGCAAGTAGTACAGCGAGAAGACGGCCGTGTCTTTCCCTGCACCTTTCTTGCTGTCTTCACCTCCGTCGGACATGGTGAAAAAATCCGTCGATACGCCTTCTGGTTTGCTGGTCGTCGAGCTATAGGCGCTCTGATACCATGTAAAACTTTGTGGAAATTGTTGTTCACTATGCAAGATACATCCTATATATATACAATTCCTACGCCTGAATTTAGGAGGTTCAATTGCAGTAGGAAATTACTAATTACAAGTTCCCAAAGAAATCTAGGGAGCTACTATCCAAATACATCTAGGAAACTACCAATTACACATTCATGCATGAAGAGTCCCAATATAGGAAGGTTACGTGGAGATTTCCCAATACATGAAGGTTTTCCAATATTTTCATAGATTACTACATCGCGGGAGACAAAATATTCATCTCTCTCAACATCATATACGCGCCAGCCTTTCTTTCCGTATGAATAACCTACAAAACCAGGAGGCAAAAATAGTTCAGTCTTCAAATTGGTTTTACACTCAGAAGTCCGACTATGACACAAAAAAGGCATAATATCTGAGAATTTTTTTAGGAAAAAAATTCACTTACCCCGACCTAACAAATTCTAACTTCACTATACAATTGGGGAACCGATGCCGATACAAGGGGGAGGGGATATTAGTGTTTAGGTGGGTGTTGAAATTTTTGAATTATTGTTGATATATGGTGGAATTAAAGTTTTTGAGGTGGGTTTTAGTGAAATTTTCCCTATTTTATATATGAGAAATTTATAGAAACTTTTTATATTATAAAAGTGGTGCCAATCACCAACTGAAATCAGTTGGTATTTACATGGTTAAAAGTGGTGTCGATATGCATATTAATAGGTTGTGATATGTGAGAGATGGAGATTTTGATTGGTCAAAGCTCTTAGGCATAGGAGATCTGGTGGCAATTGCGGGTGATTTTGGAGTCAAAATTAAGGGCAGACATTTGTATGTAGCTCAGCCCGGCCTGTAATTCTAGGCCTGGGCTCACATTTCATTCGGTCAGTTAGAGGTATTCATTCGGTCAGTTAGGTTCAGTCCTATTTGGAAAACAAAACCTAACTGACATTTTGGTTAGGTCATTTTCATAAATTGAATAGAACCGAATTAGACTAGAAATCGAATTGAATTGAATTGAATCAAATTTAAATATTTATATTAATAATTATTATTAAAATATATCAACATTTATAATTAAAATACATATTATATATATTATTAATAAAAATAGTAATATAATATTTATAATTAAAATATAAATATATGTATTTATTTTGGTTAATTCTATTTTCGTTTTGGTTCGGTTGAATTTTTTTCAAACCGAATCAAAAACCAAAATTTCTCATATCTTAAAACCGAATTGGCTTATTCAATTTGGTTCGGTTTGGGTTTTGGTATAAATAATAACCGAATTTGAACACCCCCTAATAATTCTTACTCAATTTTTTGCATTCATTTAGGAATTAGGACCCACGGAAAGTTGTTTACCCGTCATATTGGAAAAAATTAAAAAATAAAAAATTTGACAAGACATGTATTTTGCCCCATTTTCTAATATAAATATTTTCCAAAGTAACACATAATTGAACTTAAAAACAGAAAATCTACGTGCTTTGGCATTTTTTTTCCTACATCAAAATATTTTCTTGTTTTTTTTTTTCTCCTGTTTTCTTTTCTTTTTTTCTCTCTTCAATCTGATGAAGCTATCATATAACTCGGAATGAATCCGTAGAATAACTTCTTCGTTCCAAGGCGTAGCAGCACCGGTACACCTTCTTCCTTCCTCTCTCCATCTTCATTCTTCTTCTGCTTTACACCCATCATCAACAGCGCTCTGTAATCGACCGGTACCGACGACTTCACGAAGAACTGCACGTTATCCAACATCGTCACCCCGACGTTCAATATCCCCTCTACTGCTCCCGACGATGGATGATGGAGTTCGATCGCCATGAAGCCGCCTTTCATCAGGTTATCCAGTGGAATACTAACGACTCCGATGCACTGGTCTTTCCAGAATCGCCGGACGGTGTAAATCTCGATCTCCAAAGCAGAAGTGGAGTTTCCCAGATCCCGTTCGCCGTCCATCACGAATATGAACTTGTCATTCCACGTGGGGTTGCTTCTTCCTACGGTGTCGATCCTCGATCTTAGCTTCTGCGTCGGATTGATCCATGAAACAGCGTAGGTCTTCATTCCTTTCCACCATCTTCCTGAGTTGAGACCTTGGGCTGATATCAAGTTTAGCTCCACCGCTCGGACCTTGGGAGAATCCATGGAGAGAGAGAGAGAGAGAGAGAGAAAGAAGAGTCCACTGCCCACTGGTTGGTTAAATATATGGGAACTACTTGCACGATATTAATTTTCTTTTTCCCTCCTTTTACTGGGGTAAGTGCCATCATTCATCGTCCATCTGGAATATTTATCCAGATATGTGACGGATATTAGATATACCTACACCAGGAATTGCGCTTTCAGCTTTCTTGCTATGGGGCCATGGGAGTAGGACCCACTCATGATGGATTCAGATACAAATTAATGACAGCTACACGGCTATTTTATTTGAGACTCATCAGTCATCTATTGGGAAGTCTCAGAAGCCTTGATTTGGGATGGGTTTTTTAATTGATTTGGGAAGCTAAATTTGGATTGAGCAGGGATTTTTGTTTGAGTAGGGAACAAAAGTTGGTCAGGACAAGAAATTAGGACACCTACTACTATCAAACAATAAGTATTAAATGTTTTGTTCTGAGAAATCAATTCAGATTTGGAAAGGCTTTCACATGTACTAGTTTCTGGTGTGAGGTTACATGAGCTGAGAAATCTGAAAAGTCAGAAAGTCATATTTGGTAAAAAACTGGAAAGCTGAAAATAAATTTACATGAGCCGAAAATAAGGGCTCATGTAAATTTAAATGCAAATCCCTACCAAACAGGCCAAAATATGGGCTTTCCATTTAATCTTTTTTTTATGACTTCTTCAAAACAGTTTATCAGCTAAATCAAAGTTTCAACCCTCCCTATGGGCCCTTATAAAATTCAAAGAAAATGAGATATATTTCACATAAAAAGAGTACCCACATGTGAGGGGGATGCCAGAAAATTTCTAATGAAAAATAGAAAAAAGAATATAACCTAATTATTTAAATATTTAGATTCAGATTAATAGATCTAAATTGTCAAATTGTTTCTCAAAATGATTTTGCAAAGGAAAAGTCGTAATGATCCAATTTGATTGAAATAAAATAAATCATCGTCTTATTGGGGTTGGTTACATGAATTTGTTGTATCATTTTCAATGTCATATCCATAGGTTGAACTATGATGTCAAGAAAAGACATGATAACAGAAAGACTTAAAATCAGTATCACAAAAGTGATAATGGGTTTTAATCAAAACTAGAGGAGGTTTTTATTGCTCAAAGCTGTCTATTATCATGTATTCCTGGCATTATATAGACTTTTCCCATACCCATTAATTATATCATGAGTTCTTGAATAATTTCTTACCATTTCAGTTCATATCCTCTTTGCTCTACCTCTAACCTTCAAACCTACTACAAGTCACTTTTTATAAATGGTTTTCTATACATATTACCATTCACGATTGGAATATAATAAATATATATATCAGGATGTATAAATAGTACTATGGTAATAATTTGGTCCAAACCCATACCCATGAATAAAGGTAATGGATTACCCATAATAGGCATCCAGTAGGTTATTTTACACATCACAATTGACAAAAACCAAGTTCAAAACTGGCTCATGAACAGGTCTAATCATAACAGATGGAAAATTTTGGCAAAATTCTACAGTTTATGATGTTTAGGGATGTCCACAGTTTAGTTAACCGAACCATGAGCATATTTTGCAAACTGAACTGGTGGTACCGGTTTTTTCATTTCTCCAAACCAAAACCAAACTGGTACCACCGGTAAACTAGTCTGCCTGTTGGTTTTTGACCRATTCGATTCTTTGATTCTTTGATTCTTTGATTTTAAAAATATATAATATATTTATAAATAGATTATTATAAATATAATATAAATATATATTTATATATAATATACAAAAATATACATATGAACATATATCGGTTGATTCAATTAACAACCAGTTTTTTTATAGATTAACCGAAAACCAAACCGGTCGATTTAATTTTATCAATTCAGTCAATTTTTCTGTTTATCGATTTTTCATGGACACCCCTAATGATGTCTATAAGGCTTTCCCTGCCTGATACGTCAATAGGGCTGTCAATGGATTATGAAAATTAAATATCATATTAGACTTTGAATTCGATTATCTTATATTTGAATGTTATAACTTATATTTGCATCCAATTAATAATTAGATCGAATGCAGATTTAATCCATCAAATCCGATTAAAAATTGAATATGATAATTAATATAATTTATAATTATAAATTAATTTTTAAAATCTTTTATTGTCATTTCAAATGCATTAACATGAACCTTATCTGAAATCCGGTATTATAACTTGACGCAGATATACATGCTGCTAGATCCAATCCAAAATCKATCCAATTAACACACTAATCTAAATTGAAATAATTACAGTAACCGTACTGAAGGCATGACTTATATAAACTAACGTTATCATGGAGAGACCCCAGTGAGGCTGTTGAACATAGAGAGCCACAAAGTTTTCTCACAGCAGTTGATTCATTAAACCCAACAGGTTCTACGGATGGTTGGAAGTGGATCAAATCAAAAGAGAGAAAAAAAACAAGAGAAAAATCGCTTCAGTGTCTGAGCTTCCATTAGAAAAACCATACATCGACACGCGTGTCCTGCAGACTGCCACGCGGTATCGGTGTGTGTGTTGGGTGTTACGTTTAAGCTTTGACAAGAACGAAGCATGTCCAACGCTCCTGCTTGGAAACCCAACTTTTCTCTTTTCTCTTTTCTCTGTGAAGGAAATCAAAAACAATGGCAAGCCCAAAAAGAGTAGATGTCAACCTAGAACCAGACGCTTCTGACTTTGCATTTCCGGCGGCCGGAGAACTAAATCCCGGCAAGGCAAASGACTTTCCGGTCAACCCTACTTCATCCGAAGTCGTTGCTATGTCTAACAAACTCAAGGTACGTAATTTCTCTTTATTCATTAAAATCCACCAAATGGGTTTTGTTAAATCTGGTTGTCTTCCATGCATTATATTTGAGTAAAAAAAAGAAAAAAAAAATCCATGGAAGCATCATTAATTGTCATTGTTTGATATTTAATGGAAGAAAATGCCAACCAACTGAACAAAGAAAGGAGAAAATGGTTGCATGTTTGTTTTGAAAAATATATGTTTTTCACTTTTTGGCATTGAAAGGAAGAAGAAGTGAGAGAGCAGAAGAAGAAAAAGAAAGAAAAAGAAAAGAAGGAAGCAGCGGAGAGGTTCAAATCAACTATTATAATGTCCGGAATGGTTGTTGCTGTGGTCGGCGCCATCTTTGCCATTACCAATAAGCTGAGAGAAAAATGAAATCCCATGGCCAGAACCAGAAAACCAGTAACCTCAACAATTATCTCTCTTTTTTTTTCTATTTTACTTTTTCTTTAATCCAGTGAGCTAGCTTAAGGTGTTTTTGATAGGATGAAGTTTAAAGCTTTTTTTATTTTCTGGGTTGCAAGGAAAGAATTTTGATGGAGTCGTTTTAATTTGGTCCGACTTTCTCCACCTTAGGTAAGATTCTAATCCGATTATGTAGTTATGTATATTTATAAATCTCGAGCTAGTTTTTCCTTYATTTATTCTTTTCCGCTTATGCATTAATCCGGATAAATAATTTTTCAAAAAGTGGAGCAAAATTCTAAATACGGGGAAATTCTAAGTCAAATATCCCTGTTTTGCATGACAAGGTTGTGTTTATTTATTTATTTTTTGGTGAAAGGTTTGTGTTTCTTATTTAACTTTCGAAGGAGTAAATACATTTAGCTGTATTCTTTGCCGGAAAATGTCAACTGGGTAAGTAAGACAATTTCCCAGAAGACCTTACCTTAACTACAGAGCAATTTAATCCCACAGTTTAGTTAGTTTTCCTCCTCCAGCAAGTGATTTACCTAGAAAAGTGGTTCAAAATTTTATTCATGGGCCGTACCTCCTCCATGCCCATTGCCCAAGTGGTTTTGCTCACTTGGAATTTGGAAGGGGAAAAATGTAAAATAAAAATGGTTCAAAAATCTACCGAAGAGGCGAAGAGAAAGTTAGTTCACACTAGTCCTATAATTTCCAGCAAAAAAAAAAGGGTCGGCAAATGAATGGGCCCTAAGAGAAAATGCACCAATAAGAAACCTCTTGGAGTAAATCAATCAATCAAAATGTCCTTACACAGATAAAATAGGCCGGATTTACCCAATTAGATAACACCTACTTGGCAAGCAAACCCTTGTCGCTGGAGCCTATGATTCCTATCCTAGGAGAACATCCTCTGCACATTTGTTTAGGATTTTTCTCTAGACTGGTTTGTTGTTGGTACTTGTTACCTATCACTATCAGATCATATTACCAACGGTTCTCGTCTCTCATTCTTGTTTTTAAAGACTAACCCCTCAAGGCCTTAAGAAGTATGTATCATAACAATGAAACCATCTTTCAGGCTTTTATAGTACAACCAACGTGAAATGCTTGAGTTGGGAAGCATAAAACAGAAAATGTAAACTCAAAGTGAATTCTCTGTGATTTGTTCTACTCTAATGCAAGAAAACACTGCAGGCCCTTTCACCATCAAGCAAACTAATAATCTCACTRTAATTCTCAGTCCTGGATTTCTTCTGGCTTCTTGGAACTTGACTTGAGATACCAGCCAAGAGCTCCGACTGCAGTAATTACACCCGCAAGAACAGCATAGTTTCGGTTCTTGTCGGTTGATACACCTGACATTGAGGAAGCTGAGCCACTTGGTTTGGCATCAGCTTTTGAGCCCCCAGGCCCTTTAGGGCCATGTGACAAAACAAGAAAAAAAAAAGAATGGCAAATGTAAGCAAAGTACTGGCTAAAGATTGTGACCACAAAGTATGATTTTACAAGGAAACATGGATGACCACTACTTTCCTGTCACTTCCACACTTTGCCCTATATTAGTTTCTATGCATATCTTCATTTACTTCAATTCATATGTCAGAGCAGTTGCTACCATACAACCAATAGATAATCCAAGCTTCATGTGTTGAGTTCCAAGCTTATAATAACCTTCCTGTCGGTTTCTTACTTTGCCCTAAATTGGTTCTTATGCATATCTTCGTTTACTTCCAATTCATATGTATGAGAACCATACAACCAATAGGTAATCCCAGCCTTAACATTTATGTATAGAGAGCCCCAAGCTCATAATAAAACTTTGAAACAATATTCAAGAACTCAGATTTGTAGTATTCCATTAAGCAATTATATTAACTCGCATGCTAATCAAGGAATAATAGGAGTCAAAGCTCTTCAGCATGCATTATGTTACGGAATATCAAAAATAAATGGAGATAAAGCACAAATCATACCTTGCGTGCAAGCTTCTCTAATTTCTCCTGCTCAATTTTCTGAAGATTAAGAAGTGACTATGTTAGTACATAGGCAGTGAGACAAATGCCAGGAAGCTAGACCGTTAAACAGTCAAATCACAAAATATCAGGTTAGATTTAATTGCAAACATGCTTTGAAGTTGAAGCATTAAAATTGCACATCTACAACGAGGGGCGATAAGAGATTTAGAAAAAGGCAAACGTAGAAAAAGGGGGATGCTACTGGAATATGTTTGTGGCATAAGACTAATATGTAGCAAGGATTCAGAGCATTACTTAAACAACATCTTAGTGGTTTTAACGATGTTTATTGTTTTTAAAAATGGATTGCCTTTATATTTACTCTAAATTTAAAGCAGTAGTAGTGAAGCATGGGCATCGAGCTTATCCCTTAAGAACCCACAAACCCCTCCTATTGTCACTAGATTTAGTCCGACAAGAATTTAAAATCCATATCTTCTAGAAGGCCGTAGTATCAGAGGAATCCATCCATGTATAGGATGGCCATGCAAATCAGCCAAACCCACGGATCTCATTAGTTATAGTAGTTTTATTTCATTAGTTGTAGAGGTTGCCTTGGCCTTATTTTCAACCGGAAAGTCCTACATTAGCTTTTCAGGTTAAGCTATATTGTGTTTTGGATAAGCTTGACACTGGGTCTTGTAAGCTTTTCTGCCCAAAATAATCTTCTGTGTTACCGTTATTAGAGCACAGTTTCGCCATTTGTACAGAACCATAAAGAGAATTGGCAGACATGCTCAAGCATTCACCGAATTCGATATGCATATAAGCCATCTACTCTGGCTTATGCATATTGCATTTCATCAATTTACTGTTTGATAAAACACATCACCAAAACAGAGACAGAGTACTCCAAAAACAGCAAAGTTCCCAATTTAAGCCATATGATGCTAAAGCTCTTTTTTTTTGTGATATAAGCTATTAATTTTGAGCAACACCAAGCACCCCCTTGAGTATATAAATATATAATAGGCCAAATGGAAGACAATAGAAAAACTTGCGTTTTTTCCCRAAAGGATATTTCTGATATACAGATAACGAGTTCTCAAAATTTTTAATGGTTCTCCTGTGATCATTTTTTGTTCCTTGACCGTGTTTACAAAAAGAATATCATGGTTAAACCAGCCCATATGAATGTCTGAGATACAGATGATTACAAGCATATGTATTGCAGATAAACAGACACACGAGCACACATGATAGACAGCATTTCTCAAATTATACGGTAATGAAACATTTTTGGTAATATTCTTGAGCAATTAAATGCGTTTATTTGTTACTAAACTGAGTTTCAAAAATCAACAAACATATGTAAGCCATAGAACAAAAAAAATTGTCACGCAAAATGGCAAAAAGTTATCTCTGGTAATTAATTCGACAGAAAGAACTGACTAAAAATTCATTTGCCTTTTTTTATTGCTATAAGCTGCGTTTGATTGCAGTGTAAATTAAAACTCTATCGTCGGTTTGCGTTTACATGTGTTTGTTTCGGTGTAAAAGCAGACTGGTGTTTGTTTAGAATGTTTGATTTTTTCATCTTAAATTGATGTAAATGATACATCAATTTTATCAATGTACATTTACATCAATTCTCACCTCAATCCCTCGAGGGTCCAGAAAAATTTTAAATCAATGAAATGACTTTTTCATCAACTCTCTTTTATAAAGAATATTTTTCCACCGCAATCAAACTCTGCCATAGTGAATGTTGTGTCAAACTGTCAATTGCTTTGTCATAGGTAGGGCTGTCAATGGACCGGATATCGGTTAAATTCTATCCGATCCAATGAGTCTAATACAGATGGATCAGGTCCAATTCAACCTAATAAATATTTTGGACTGGACTGGAATGATTCAATTCAATGTCTTATTGGACCATCCAATCTGTTCAAATTGACACCCTTACTCTTATCTTCTGTCAATGGGCTGAATATTAGTTCAATCCAATCCAATCTAATATAAATCCGTTATAGATGGATCAGGTCTAATCTAATCCAATAATTACTTTGGACCATTTGAGTCTGCATTGGTCCAATTCAATGTCTTATTGGACTATCCAACACGTTCTAATTGGTTTTAATTCGGAAGGGTTCAACCCAAACGGCCAAACCTGGTCCCCATTGACACCGCTAGCCATAGAGAATGTGAATCAATTGATTTTTGCATCTTTTTCCCTACTCTGCTGCTTGAGATATTTGGTTTTCACAGACGGGAGTTGGAGACATGGGGAATGAAGTTCTTTGACCAGATTTTAAGATGGAAATTTTGTAAAGCTCTTGCAGCAAGCTATATTACTGGTAATAGTGCTACGAGTGTCAGAACCTGACATGGATAAAAGGTATTAGAATCGGACAAGCCAGAAAAAATAAGATACAGGGGCGTGAGTTCTACATTTTAAAGGAAAGGTTGTGGCACTTCCGTCGGTCCTGGAGATAGCCTAAGGCCCAAAGAAAAAGGGTTTGAACCACTTTTAATCCAAGGCAATTCAAACCATGCAACTACACCGGACAGAGGAGCACATGTGGACCATGGAGAATAGGTCATCGCATTAGTTTACTGACACAATATTCAATGTTTCTCAGATAGATACAAAGGAAATCTAATGACTAATGAGTTGACCTTTTCCTGGCAAGTTGAGTTGGTATGAAGGACTGTATCATGGCAATTACTTGTTTCAGCCTTTCAAAAACATAGACATCTTTTAAACATGCTTTTGAAGTTCATAGATTTTATAAAGAAGGTTGTTTTCCGGATGTACCAGAAAATATATACAATCAAACAGTCAAATGAAAATAGAGTTTTTGCGTAAGATTTCATGAAGGTAGCATTGCCATTATGTAATCAACTATTTCAGTTCAGCAACATGACACTACTGATCTAAAAGGGGGGAATGCTACCACTACGGAACTCTTGGCATGATTAACCATTCTAAATAATGAAAAAAAAAAAAAAACATATGTACAAGAATGATATCTCTCTAACAAGTACCCTTTTTATTCGACCAAATATGAGCATTAATCTAAGAAATGTATAAATGAGATATACCCGTAATCTGAAGGGAAAAAAAAAAATAAAACTATAATATTGCAATAAAACTGTGAAGCTCGAAGAGGTAAAGCAAACTAACAACATATGAGCAAGAAAATCGAACTAAGCAAATCGAACATAAAAAATAAAATCAAGAAAAGAAATCTAATTCGAGTTGAAATGAATCAAAAGAGAGAAGACTTCATTGAGGGGGGGGGAGAAGTTGAGCAATGCACCTTAATGTAAACATTTTCTGCAGCTTTTTCCTCCTCACTGAGGATTCTGCCACCGCTCGAGAACCTTCGAGAAATGTATCTTGCAGCGGCTCTCGTCGCCATGGCGTCTGATCTCATCTAGGGTTTGTTTCTGTCGATCATCTATCTTCTACTCTTTCTGCAAGCTTCTCAACTTCAATCGCCTGCTCAGGCGATCCGAACACCATTTTTGTACCGCAGAATTTGCCTATTTGATATATACTAAAAACTAAAATACCAAACCTGTCCTTCTCGACGCTGGGGTAGAATCCAAAACTCCGGGTCCGGGGTGGAATATGAAAAGCAGGAGATGAGATGTCTTACAGGCTCCGTGGATCTGGACCGTCAATCCAATGGGCCCACTCTCGCTTGCGCGAAATAGAAAGAAGAGGAAGGTATTCGATTCAGTTGAGTCTTGAGTTTATTCCTTTTTCAGCAGGCGTGGAAAGACATGGTATCCACATGGTAATATGACCCACCCGACAAGGATTCATCGACTCACTTGCCATTGATCGAAATTTGGGGCAAGTTTCAGGAAAATCCAAAATTCTGGTGACCGAAGTTGGGGTGGGTTACCCTAAGCCCGGCCCCGAATCCATCCAATAGATAATGTATGTATAATATATTATTTTGTATCATGGTTTATTAGGGGTGCAATTTAGGAGGTTTTTTTTATTTTTCGATCTGGGTTCAGGCCTAATCCTTAGGTAGTCTTAAGCCTGACCCAAGTCAGGTTTAACTATATATATATATGCATAAAATGCATATATGTTGGAGTAAGTTTATTGATCAATTTGAACTCGACTTAGGCCTGAGCTCAATCCAAGTGCATCAAATTATAATGTAGGCTGGGTTCGAGTTAGAAAGATAGGCTTCATTTTAGGCTCGGGCCTTAAGCCTAAATTTTAGGGTCAGACCCAGGTTGGACACCCCAGTGTTTTATACTTCAAATATAAATATTATTTGCAATATTTTTTATCATATAATATATACAATAATAAATTTTATATATGTTTTTCTTAAAAAACAGGTTTGCAGATATGAATGGCGAGGGTGGGGCAGGGCAAATTCCTGGGGACGAGTTTTCAGTCCTATTAGGGTCCGGGGCAGGGGTTGTCATTCCTAATGAGCACCTAATAGTGTTTATTTTTTAAGGAATATTTTATTAGCCGTTGTCATTCCTAATGAGCATCGTGTTCATTTTTTATTGACCGAAACATAATATAACATCTATTTTTCCCTAAATGCGAACAACAACGTGTTTAATTGGATGATTGTCTAATTTGCATGGATTGTACCTTAAGGCWGTGTTTGGTTTTAAGGAATAATTTGGTAAAATGGAAAAGTATGGAATGGGATGACAAGGAAAAATGGAAGGTATTCTGATGCAGAAACTTATATCCTGCTCCATACCAGGTCAGAACATGGCGCATCCAGTACTGACCAAAAGTCCGAAACAGACCTGTCGGGAACTTCGGCTTGACATATATATCAAGGGCAGATAGATTGAACCAGTGAATCGGGTCTGTCAACCCGACCCATTGGCAGCCTCAAACATCTATTACCATAGGGCAAAATGCAAATACCTCACTTCTGTGAGAGGCTTCAATATATAAAATAAAAAGGGGAAATCACGTTAAAGAAGCATTTTTTTTAAACAAAAAAACAAAGTTGTTTAAAAAATGCATACATATTAACAAACACCCCTACCCAAAATCTGAAATCATCTCTGTTATGAATTATGATTGAATAGGAATTTGGAGAAGATTGGCTTATAATTTTGTTATTTTGTTTGATGATGTCATGTAAGCCTTGTTGCAACCATATGGTTCTACTTCTACGCATGGTTTTCAAAACCAGACCAGACAGAACGGTTGGACTGGAAAAACTGGGACCGGTTCTGTTTTCCCCCAAAACCGTTGATTTTAGTCAGCAAACCGYTGAATCAGCCGATTAACCGTTTGAATTATTCGAACGGTTTTGACCGTTTTTTAATTTTTTAAATTTTTGTCAGAACAGGCCGAACAGTCAAACAGTCGGACCTTTCGAACCGGTAAYCGGACCCCTGACCAGTTCAGCTTTAAAAACCATGCTTCTACCTAAAAATAAATGAATCCTGTTTTGCCATTCCATTCTGCTCAGTGCCTTATCCACTGTTAAATTATAAGCCCTTGAACCATTTCTTATTTTTGTTTGATCAACAATCAAATAACATTTGATTGAATCACAAAAAGAGGGAAAAAAAAAAGAAAAATGAAGCAGTGTCAAATATACTGTCACCTGTTACCACTACCACACAATCATGAGAACTGTTGGCTGCTGTCATGAGTTGTTGTTAATACTGATACATTTTCCTTGCATACAAGATTGGTAAAGGCAAATATCCTTGCAAAACAAGAAATCAGTTGCTCATGAATCACCTCTTCAGCAGGAAGTTCCATGGTCGTCTCTCTCTTCAGAGATGTAACTCCTTTTTCAGCAATACCACAAGGTACAATGTGCTTAAAATAGTCCAGATCAGGATCGATATTAAAAGCTAACCCATGGGATGTGATCCCTGATGAGATTCGAACCCCAATTGCACCAATCTTCCGGTCTCCGACCCAAACACCTGTTTCACCTGTTCCTCCGGGATGTGCTTGCACGCCATATAGAGAAGCCAATTCAATCATTGTCAATTCAAGGTTTTCTACATATTTCCTAGCACCCAGTCCAATTTCTCGAAGAGAGATAATGGGATATAATATGGCTTGATGTGGCCCATGAAAAGTTATGTCTCCACCTCTTTGTGTATAATGCAGCTCAGCTCCCATTCTTTGAAGGTCAGATTCAGGGACTAGTAAATTGTGATAGGTTCGTCGTTTCCCAAGTGTGTAAGTAGGGGGATGTTGTAGGGACAAAAGTGTGTTTGGAATTTTACCAACTTTCCTATCAGAGATTAGCTTTTCCTGAAGCTTCAGTGCATCCAAGTAGTTCACTATGCCCATCTTCCAGACCTCAAGGCTCCGCCTAACTCTCATTCCCTGCATATCATAATACATTCAATAACCCAAATTATAATACAGTTAGCTTCATATTTTTTAGGATCATTTAACTGACACCTTTTTTTTACTTTTTATCCGCCTATCAAAAAAAAGATCCAATACAAGCATTTTAAGAAGGGCTACCACAAAAAACCTATATTTCCTTGAAATTTGCAGCCAATTGTCATGGCTTCCATAATTTCAGCTAGTTCTGGTTCTAAATCCCTATCTATGAGAACCTCCATATCTCCACCTCCTCTAGTCATCATCATTTATTTCTTTTATATCTGCAAGAGTTAACTCCTAGTCACTACGTTCACATGTGATGAATAACTTAAACCTCAGCAAAGAAACCCCAACCATGCAAAATTTTATTTCATACTAATTATAAAATAAATAAACATACAAGGAAATGGCTAATAAAAATAAGGACATATTACTTTGATATACCCTGTGGTTTCATTAAACTACTTAAACATATCCTCCTGTGGTTTCTAAAACTACTTAAATACCTTGTTAAAATATTTAACAGTTAAGATTGATGGGGGGGAAATGAAAGGATAAAAATGTGCTTGACTGTTCTTTCAATTTTCAAAACATGCACTTTAACTGTTCTTTCAGAAAATCCATACTGTGCTCTCTGAACTTGGCACAGTWAAACAAACTCGAACCTTACACAGATGCCGCTACTGGACTGTACAGCAAAACAAAGCAGGGCAAAACCTCATTTTATGAAGTCTTTAAAGAATTTTGTGATCCTTGTTCAAGCATTGATGGACTGAATAAAACAAGAAATAGTCAACCGTAGCAGACATGATTCAGAATATCAAGAATATTGCTAAGTGAAATAAATAATGAATAGAGCACTTAGCTGTATTTACGAGACTGATGTTCAGATAATAAATTTTCTGATGAACTCCCGGTCACTGGTGTTATTCGGTTTGGCCTTTCAGCATTATCAGCAAGTTCTGAATTTCCGATGCTCCCACTGCTCCTTTTGATTCAGCAGCAGTTTGCGCTTTCGGCAATGATACTTCTAAGTGCCGATTTGAGATGCTTGGGTTCGGTTTTCTGATCGAATCGGCCTTATGTGGTTAATCCTATTTTGTGGAGGTGTCAAAAGCCCTAAATTTATTTAGGGTTCACTCGGTCCAGGAAAAACAAATTTTGACGTGTAACTCTCGAACCAGCAACCCAATTGATGAAGAAGGCCAAAAAATAATGTATTTTTTTGTCGAATCTCTAATGGCACCGAAGAGTCAAATCTCTCTACGGCTGATGCGCAAAAATAAAGAATCTGCAACTTGGTTTCTTTGGTGTCGATCAAACTATTAGCAGTGATTTTCTCAAGCGATCGAAGATGTTTATAACGCTCGAACCGGCCGGAGAAGGAGCTTCAAACTCAGTTTAACAGGGGATTCACAGTCGCCCAGTGATGCTTTCGAGGTTGCGGTAACGTAGGAGTGAAGCCGCCGTCGTTAGAAACCAACGGTTGGACTGGAGGTGGGAGAAAAACCCTCGAACTGGGTTCTGTTCGCTCGGAGTTGCCGGAGCCACCGTTTGTTCGGAGATGGGAGAAAAAGATTCTAACAACTGCTTCGGTGGAGAATAATGAAACCTTCGAATAGCTTTTTGAAGGAATCGCCTGGCGCAAGTCGAGTTTTCTAACTATTCACGAAGAAGAAGAACCTTTGATATATGAAAGAGATAGGCAGTCGAACAGGTTTCGCAGCGGAAATCAGAGGAAACCCTCAAAAAAAATCGGAGAAGTACAGATACACACGACGCAGAATTCTGAATTCCAGCCTCCGCTACTACTGGCCCTCTCCCCTATAAACCACATTCTGCCCGTTAATTTGATATTAATTCACGGTCAGGATGCATTCCCGGGACTATAAAATTTTGATCTGAGCTGATTAGTCATTCTCCCTAAAAAATTTTCTCTCTCCTCTCCCTCTTTGAAGCTTAAATGATGAGGTAAGATCCGGTGTGGCGTGACTATACTTTAAACACTATGCCAATCGATGCTGTGCTCTGATACCGGTGTAAGACCTTCAAGATGCAAAGATGGACGGTTGATGCTTGGGCATTCAAACCTGCATACAAAGAGAAAAGTGTATCTGCCACATAATATGGGATTCAAGCTTTGAGGATCTTTTCCGTGTTCTCAGTAAAGAGCTTATCTTGTGTATATGAAGCACGTGGGAGTGGTCCCTTTTATAGTCTGCTTCTCCAACATGAAGTTCTCTTATCTGGTATTAGAAACAAACAATAATCAAAATAATCAATTGAGATAAGTGCTCCTCAACAGTAAAATTCATGCTCCATCAGATTTGAGACAAGTGTCTCATGTTGACCAAGGATCTAACCACTTGGTCATCCAGTCTACACTGGGTCAAATGGATATCCATTGACCCAGTAAGTGTTGAAACTAGAACCCATAATAATCCAACAATATTGGTATCTTTATGCATAAAACATTTTCAAGTAAACAATCAAATAAATTTCTTTTTATAGAAAATAAATAAATAGATAATAACTTGAAAAACAAGTGATTGATGTGTGTGTGAAAGTATTGCATAGAAATAACCATAAAATAATCATCTTCCATCAACATGTGGCTTATCACATGGCCATTGGATATTCCAACACGTTGAGGATTAAATGAGGGCCTATGGCCACTCTACMATCAAAGAAGAGAGTGGAGAGATCGGAGAGAAGATGAGAGACTGGAAGGAGGTTGATCAGGGTTCGCCGCTGCCCTTGCTGGTTTCGTTCGAATAGGGGAGAGATGAGAACAGTCTGTTCCTTCGTAAACTTCTCCGATTAGCTGCTGTTGGTTTCGTTCCAACGAAGGAGATGAATAGTGTCTATCTTCCTCTTCTCTTCCACCCCGGGTTAAATGAGGCATCATATTGTTTTTATATGAGAGTGGGCTGTTATTTCATAATTTTAATGAAAATGGGGGGTGTTTTGGTAATTCTCAACAGGTTGGGTTAAGTCGAGTCTAGGAGGGATGAACTAGGTTGATGAAGATCAAATCAAGGTTTCATATGGATGGTTAAGGTTTTGAGTCAAGAATGGAGGGTTGAGAAGGGTCTGACCGTAGATAAGGGTTCTGTGTGTGAGGCTAGTAAGATTGGTCAAAATATAATCTTTTTAGATGAAGCGACAAACGGGGGTAGTTTTGAATGCAATTTCACAGGGTGGGGTTTATGGACATTCTGAGTCGATTGGTGGGGTCAGATTGGCCAATTGAGCCTAGATCGGGCAGATTTGGAATCTGATCAATCTGGAGCCTCAAAATAGAATCTTTGTGTGAGTAAGGGTAAATGAAGGTGTTTGGGGCTGAAATTTCACAAGTAGGCATTTGGAGGGGTCYGGGATCTAATGATGAGGTCTGATCAGTCTTAGAGGGTCAATATCATAGGAGTTTGGGTCAATGGGATGTTTCAAAATGGAATCTTGGTTTGGTAGAGGGACAAATGAGGGAATCTAGGGTTGAAACTTTATGGGAAGGTGTTTTGGTGTCCGGAGTCTAAAGGTGTGGTCTGATCGGTTCAGGTGTGTCAAGATCAAGGTAATCTGGGCTTTAGGTGTTTAGGTTGATGAGAAAGGTTAAAATGGAATCTTCGTTTGATGAGGGGGTAAATAGGGGAAATTTGAGTTGAAAATTTACAGGCAGGTGTCTTGAGAGATCTTGGGTCTGATGGTTGTGTCTGATCTAATGTTTGAGGTGTGAGTGCGGGTCAATCAGGGTTATTGGATAGGTACCAGGTAGGTTTAACGATGGATCTGAGGGCTTTGGGGGGTGAAATTTGGGTTTTTTGGTGTTTTGGAGAGTTCGAAGGGTTTGATCGGGTGTTTGGGGTGAATTGGAGGCTCAGGCAACAGRCCGAGCAAAAATCAAGTGCTAACAATGATGTTTGGGATCTAATCTAATGGTTAAGGCATAAATGGGGGGTTAATTGGGACCATCAAATTGGGGTCGAGTAGGGTTAACTTTGAAAAATGACCCAAAAATGGAACTATTTTCCCCTCTSTGTCATGGGTTAAAAACAGTTCAACCATCTTGGTCAATGGTTTAACCCGTAGTTGTGTTATGGCCTTTAGATTATGATCTTGAATATACTATGTTGGATCTAGGTTTATTGAGTTAGAGGGGGAAATAAAAGGGAAAGAGAGGGATGGGAGGTTTACTGAGTAGATGGTAAAATAAGAGGGAAAAAAATTAAGGGGAGAAAGATTAAGATTGGGGATTTCTAGGTATCAAAGATTGAGAGAGTGAGGGAGGGAAGAAGAAGTTCAAGCAACCATAGTTGGTAGGCTGGCAATGACTCTCCTACAACTACAATAGAAGTAGAGGAAGGTGCACATGAGCAGAGGAGATCCATCTAATGAGAGAGAGAGAGAGAGAGAGAGAGAGAGAGAGAGAAAGAGAAAGATATGGAGAGCTCTCTGCTTAGAGAGGTCTACCCAGAGAGTGCATATCCATCTGTTTAGACTTTATGGAGATTTCTTCTGAAAAATACACACTCAGCAACTTCCCTTCGGTTGTTGTAGAGGAATAGTGGTGGCACAACACAGATCTACGATGGTTGTAACTTGTAAAGCATTGATGGTGGCAAAAGGTCTGCAGCGACAATGAATGGCACAGGCAAAAGCGGATTTGAGAAGAAAAGAAAAATGCAAAAGAATAAGAGGGAATAAGAAAAGGAGTCGGGGAGATTTAGGGTTAACTCTTATATATATGGTTTGAACTATGACCTACCAATGGTTCAAATAGTTCACCGGTTTGATCGTTCGAGTTAATGGTTTTGACCAAATTCAACATTTTTCTTTTCAAATACTAGATTTAATGTGAAACGGACCCGTTTTTTTTTTGTTCATTGATTGATCAAACGGTCCAACTAAACAGGTCAACGACGGTTTAAAAACATTGGCTTTAACCATGGATCTAGGGGTTTCTGGGCTGAAATTCAGGTTTTTTAGGTTTTTGGGTATTTTGAGAGGATTGAAAAGGTTTGATCGGGTGTTCAGGTGAATTGGGGGTACAAGCAACGAACCGATAAAAAAATGGGTATTGACATTTGATTTTTTAGATTGGAATCATAGTTAAGTCAATTTTTTACTTGAACTAGTTAAAGCTAAAGTTGGGTAACTTATAATACCTTTTAATATTTCTATTAATTTTTTATCCACTATAACAAGTCATCACTTCAGCAACTTTAGTTGTTATACCTCATGCCAATAAAAACCCTACCCACATTTGGCCATACATCACTACAACCACACATTGAGAACATCTCATATAGTTACATGTTACCATTCCTTTTTTTACTAGTAAAGTTACTTGTTGTATTAAGAGTTTGGAGTATGTACATCAATAGAGTATAGCATATATAGTATATTTGTATTTTTTCACATATACAAGCTTTATACACGAAGAGGTGAGCTAGCTTGTTTTCTGTACGAGGGAAATATTCAACGTCTATTGACTTGAGTCTAGTATGTCTTGATCTTGAAGCCATGCCTTGCATTTTCTTTTGTTTTGATACCTCTACATATTGCTTTTCATATAAAAACTTGGAATTTGTATGGAAAATTTGGCTTCCATAATAGCTTTCAATTAAATAATTGATTTGAAGATGAGGAAAATGCTTGTGAGAAGGATACGCAAGTCAATTTGACTATATATCTACCTAACTTGTTCCTTTTCCAAACAAGGGTATCTACTTCTAGTTGTATATTTACCCTTTTTTCAATTATGTGGTTAATCAACTATGTTGTAAAGTGTTGTTGGGGAGCTTGTAAATTCCATGGTCTGTATGAAAGCGGAAAATCAGAAACTCTTGAGTGTGTTTGATTTTTCATACTATTATTTGACAATTGGGGGATCCCTCCAGGTAGTGTTGCCATCCACGGATCATGTAATGTATCAATACTTGATCCATCTTTGATCAGCCAGATCACTTATGCTTTGAGTTCTTTCATGATTTTAAATGTTTGTTTCCACCAAAGAGAATCATGGGCCTTTGTTTCAAATAAGAAATGGGTTGCGGTCTTTGATGTTCTTGGCTAGGAGTGTATTGGGGTTAGTGAGAATTCTCCATACTTGCTTCCCAAATATGGTCTTGTTCATATGTTGACTTTGCTTGGAGCCTAATCCCCCTTTGTTTTTGGTTGACAAAGGTTTGACAAAGAGATTAGGTGTTTTTGTTGCTTCTTCTCATGGCTTCTCCACCAATATGTAGGTATAGATTGAGTGACTGTTTGAATGAGGGTAGTGCAACCAGCTTGGGATAATAATTTTGCTCCCTGATACTTTGTTTTTTATTTAATTCTCTTGGTGAGATGTCCGTGTTGTTGAATAAGGCTTTTAGCCAAATAACTGCCAGTTTCAAAGCTTGGTTGACTCCTACGTGTTTTGAGATGAACTTCCTATGTTGTATGTGAATATTTTACTGAATAGAATGCTTGATTTGCTGTAGTTGATCTTTTGACTTGAAGCATCTTCAGATTTAAGTAGCAAGGATTTCAAGTGTTTGACTTCATTGAATTCAACTTTACAAAAGATGCAAAAAGGTGTGTGATTTATTGAGAGTCCCTATTGAGTTATGCCTTCCATATTCCCAAGAAAAACTTCCTTGTTAATTAATTGTACGAGGACTTCCATCCCTATGATAAATAAATATGGTGACAGATCTCCATGTCTTATCCCTCTCTTTAGATGAAAATGTCATGAAACCTTTTCTTCCATTTTGATAGAAAAGGTGAGAGTGGATATACAATGGTGTATATCCCCATGTTAGCATTCATGGGGAGATTTTCCCAGTCTTGTGCGTAAAAGTGGGTAAGAGATTTGGATTGGTTATCAAACAACCATCAATTATAATACCAAATAAGTAAACTCCGGTGATACTGTAATATGGTCCGATTTTACGGGTATTTGGTAGAGGCATTAATATATCTCTTAAATCGGTGCAAAACTCCATTCATAACAGTTTTCCCTAGAAAATCAATGGAAAGTTTAAATCGATGTAAATCAATGAATATGATAATCCGGCTTTGATCAGGACAAAGCCGTTCCAACAACCTTTACGGCCTTATGTTGGGAATATCTCTGTATTTATGTAAATTATTTCGTTTTATGGGAGATATTCGAGTTCGTCTTTAATCCAGGCATGCTACGTTTAAGCAACRTGCACACATTTGAAGGACACGCCACGTGTCCTCCGAATTGTGTGAGGGGCTGAAGCGTGTGAAAAGCCTTCAACCCCGTTAGTTATCACTATCGTTAGTCTAGGTTAATCAAAATGCGAGTTTTACTCCTCTTCTCCTCTCTTGTCGCAAACGAACCTCCTCACGCTCTCTCTCGTCATCTGCCCGGTGGCGGTTATACAACCATCACCATCGGCGACAAACAATCATCAATGGAATCAACCTCAGGTATTGTATTTTTTGCATCTCTTCTAAAACAAAGACAAAAAAAATCACCGGCGGTGATGGTTGTGCTAAGATATCATTTGGTTGGAAAGTTCAATTAAAAGATATTACACAATCAGGAATCTCAATTATCAAAACAAAAAATAATAATGTGCAATCAAGAAGGCTACTAGATTTAGCTGGTTCATTTGGGAGTAAAGAAGGAATTGGTAAACGTTAGTAGACTGCAACATCTGTAAATACATTTTACAGAAATCAATAATTCATGCAGGGGGCAGTGCCACCTTTTTTTATCAGTGAACATGATCTATTAATGGAACAAAAACTTTTGCCTTCAGCAAAGAAGTGGCATACTTCACTATCAGTTTTTCTTTTTTGGACTGGTCATGCTTCATCATGAGATTCAATACTGGTTTTCTTGCAAAATTTTGCCTTTGTTCTATGTTATGCAGTTGTTAACTATGAAAGTATTAATGAGATTGAAATCACTAAAGTTATTGGACATCAGCACAATGGTTCTATTGAGGAAGAAGCAGAGTTTAACACAATGGTGCAGTTAAGTGCTGCTAATCTTGAGGCAGGGGAAGATAGTGCTATTTAAGAAATTGAATTGTCAACAATAGAAAGTGAAAACATATTTTCAGAGGAGAAGGATGCTAAATGATGAGAAGGATTCCAGAAAAAAAATAAGAATCTCGTTGAGGGCGAGGATTTTTTTTTTTTTTACTCAGGAAGTTTTGTTGAAATTGTAGAAGGGAGATTGGGTAGGAGGAGGTCTGAAGCAAGGGTGGAATGGTGAGAGAGGATAGAGTTACCTTTGAACCCAAAAATATCAAAATGAAGAAATTTAGGGCATCTGGTACATGTGACTAAGGTTTCTCTCAATTGAAATATGGGGTCTCAGGAGCAGGGCCTTGTTATAACTTTAAGAGACTGTATAATGATGAGATCCTTGATCAAACGAGGCCAGTAGAGAAGAAAATTGATATGGAAGAAGTGGTAGGAGAAGATGTTCGAATTAGTAAAATTATGGGTCTTTTCTTTTTGGGTGGGGAAGAATTTGCCAAGGTGTTCCTTAAGAATTATTTTCACATATCAACATTCATCAAGTGCAAAACAACAAAAAGGCATAGCTCAGCAGAAAACGAGAAATATGATAATACTTGAGGTTGATCCCGTCGCCGGTGATGGTTGTGCAATCGCCGCCGGTCAGATGGGGAGAGAGAGAGCGTGAGGTTCGTCTGCGACAGGAGAGAAGAAGAACAAAACTCCGGTTTGAGTTCGGCTTCAGTCCAAGCAATGATGGTTGTGCAGTCGCCGCCGAGCAGATGAGGAGAAAGAGCGTGAGGTTCATCACAGGAAAGGAGAGGAGCTTAATCCACACTAATGGTAGCAGTAACTAATAAGGCTGAAGGCTTTTCGCACGCTTCAACCCCTCATACGAATTGAAGGACACGTGGCGCGTCCTCCCAATGCGCACGCAGCTTGAATACAGCGTGTCTACACTGAAACCGAATTCAAGATATTCCCAATGTAAAGTTGCAAAGGGCTGCTCGAACGGTGCGAGCACCAAGAAGCCGAACTCTTTTTCATCTCCTCTCTTAGTTCGCGTGTACCTTCCCTACCGTGATCGTGAGTGAGACCGAGCAAAATAATAATGAGAATTATTAAAAAACACGTGTCAGCAAGATAATCATGAGCTCAGCTCCGTGAGAGGAGTTAAGATCAAATCAGCCCCGTGAGAGTGGGGCCGCTTCCTTTAAAATCACGCCAATCAGAAACGCTGCACCAGGTGGCCGCTCAGATTCGGCTTCGAGCTAAGCACATCTAATTTGGTAGGACCCACTTCTAAACACAACGAACTCTCGCTCCTCGTTCGGTTGAGCTTCTAAGCTGAAAAAATGGCGGGGGTTCACTAACAGGAACAGCTTTGGTTAACGGAAGATGGAGGTTCTTCGAGCTACAGCTCCAACTTCACTGGTATCTTTTGTCTCCCCCAAAATCAAGGCAAAACCGACTAATTTCAATCTTCAAACGAAAGTTTTCCTGAGAACTCCGCTCCAGACCTACAACCTCATCAGATCGTCTTCGTTTCGTCCGCTACCTCCTTCGAACTCCTTCCTCAATCGACACCAGATATCTCCATCTGATCTTAATTTTCAAATTTTTCTGCCATCTTTGAATCTAATCAAACCCTACGTACAAGCGGAATGGAGATCAATTCTCAAGGGCTGGGCCTGCAGTGTCATTTCTGTTCTCTGTCTCTCTAAGGTGGTTCCGAAGGTCGGGAAATTCTCTTCTGTTTTGAGTAGTATCGACGCGAATCGGTTCGCAAAGGAAGGCTTGGTTTTGGGTGTTTTGGTTTTGGTCCGGTTGGTTGCGAATTACTGGCAGCAAGCTTTCCTGTGGGATGCGGCATTAAATTCTGCATATAAGATACGAGTTTATGTATTTGAGAAGGTTTTGCAGAGGGATTTAGGGTTTTTTGAAGGTAGTGGCGGTGTTTCGGCTGGTGACGTATCGCATAGGATCACTGCGGAGGCGTCAGATGTTGCCGATACTGTGTATGCTCTTTTAAGTGTAAGTATGTATTTATTTTTGTTTATACTGTATGCTTGTTGGAGATTCTGCCTCAAATAACAATGTTTTCTATATTTTGTATAATTTGGGTATGATTGTAAAGCTTAGACTGCGTTTTTTAATTTCTCTTTTTCTATTGCATTACTATGTGGTGCGTCTCTCTCTGTAATGTGTATCATCTTCTCTGCTCTTTTATATGTATTGAATTTATTTCTTACTTTGAATGTAGACTGTCATACCCAGCACTCTGCAACTATCAGCAATGGCAACCCATATGCTAGTTTTCAGCCCTGTTCTTTCATTAGTTTCAGCCTTGGTGAGTTGGGGAATCTGGACCGTAAAAATCCCTAATATTTTTAACAAAAAACGTCTGCTTGGTTGACTCAGAAAAATGTACTTAATGAGTCTGTAGGTCATTCCATTTATGTCCCTTGTCATTGCCCATCTCGGGGAAAATCTTCGTAAGATATCTAAAAGGGCGAAGTTGAGTGTAGCTATGCTCTCGGCCTACCTGAATGAGGTACGTTTTACGTAACATATGAGAATTGAGAAATGTGACCATCTTTTCTTTTCTCCTCTCTTCCTTTCTCGCACATGCACAGCAGCTACTGTAGAAATGTGATATTTGTGGTACATAAGACCTTTCTATGCATATTTTCTGTCTGTTTCAGGTTCTCCCATCGGTTCTTTTTGTGAAGGCCAACAATGCAGAGCTGTGTGAGGCTGCACGGTTTCAAAGGCTTGCCCATTTTGACCTGTCCGAACAATTGAAAAAGAAGAAAATGAAGGCATTTATTCCTCAGATTGTACAACTTATTTATATTGGAACGTTGTTCATATTTTGTGTTGGTTATTTGGTGGTTGCAAGAGGTTCTTTTGATGGTTCTGCCGCAGTTTCATTTGTAACATCATTGTTCCTCTTGATTGAGCCTATTCAGGTAATATTACAATCTCTATCTATTAGCCATAACATTCATTGAGAAGGCATTAAAATAGCATGCAAAGCTCATGGTTTTTCATTCATATGCATGGCTTATTTTGTTCAAGATCAGTATTAGGTTGGATATTGTGGTAATGCATTAATTGGTGTTCATTTTGCACTTTATATTGGCATTTGCTATACTATAAATTATTCATCAATGCAAGATATAGAATTTTATATTTTTTTTTATTTGGGGATTCGGTGAGCTATTTCATATATTTCATCACTGGCTCAAACAATGTATGTTAATTAGCAGAAAATAATGATGATGCTGATCATCATCATCGTCCAAGCCTTATCTTAACTATATGGGGTCAGCTACATAAATCCTGTTTTGCCGGTCTGCTCTGTTTAATGCCATATCCATTGTTAAATTTTTGGTGCTTAAATCAATTCTTACTACTTCTACCATGTCCCTTTTGGTCTACCCCTTTCCCTTCTAGCCCCTTCAACTTGTAACAAATCACTTTTTGTTATGGTGCTGTTGATGGTCTTCTATGCACATGGCCAAACCAATCAGCAAGAAATAAATTCATAAAAAACCAGAAAATAAAATTGCATGAATAGAATGAAGTTTTCACGAGGGTTCAATTAATAGCATATTCCCTTTAAAGCAATTGCATATCCTATCAATTACTCTTGGGTATAGGAACTTCTGGTTTTTCTTTAGGAACTTACTGATTTGTCTTTGGAGCATTTTCTTGTGGATAGCTAATGTTGTTGCCTTAAGCAGGATTTCTTAGTTGGTCTTTTTCTATTTGGGTTCCATCTATAAAGTTCGGTTCCTTTTCCATTAGGCTCTGTTTGGTTTGTGGGAAGATTTGGGTGGGATGGGAAAAGATGGGATGGGATGGGAAGGTGTAAAAACTTAACTTTCCATTGTTTGRTTTTATATGGGAAAATAATAGGAAAAGTGCCCAACACAAAACAGAGTCCACCCCTGCATTCCCATTTTTTCCGTCTCATAGGCGTTGCTGTGATGATGAGAGGAAGCGAAGCTCTGCTTGTTGCATCCACCACTGCGAAATGCTGCTTGAAGACCGGACCTCATCATGGTTATCATCATCATTTCTCTGCCTTCACCATACCTTCTTCCGCCATTGCCGCCACCTCTGCCACCACCCCCATTAAAACCGTACTCTTGCCACCATAACCACGACTGCTTGCACCACCAAAACCACTTCCAAAGTCGTATCCACCACTGCGTCCACCATTGCCACCACCGTAACCATCCCTCCTGCTTCCCTGAAATAAGATCCACTGGGGTTGGTCACCATCATTCGGGGTAATCACAGATTCGTCAGGGCTGGTCACCTGAAATACCTCCATCTTCGGTGGTATCAATCATGGATTCAACCTTTTCTCCCTCAGCAAAGCTCCAAAGCCCTCATCTCGCTGAACCATTTCACAACTCCAGTTATTTTGGAACTCTCCTGAKCCATGGATCTGGTCTTAACTTTGAACGAAATGGCCAGAAAAATCACTGGAGATCTGGCCGTTGGGATAGATAGAGGTTGAAGAAGAAGAGTCTCTCGAGGCTCTCTATTTGAAAAGGCCCAAAATATTTTCTCGAGTTTTCCCACCGGGGTTGCACTGTTTTGTGCGATCCCGATTACACAATTTTGGGATCCCACATCCCACGTTTTTCTCATCCATCCCCCTATTTCCCTCAAAACAAATAAGAGAAAAAGGAATATTTTTGGAATATTCCCTTTTTCTCATCCCCATCCCACAAACCAAACAGAGCCTAGGATGTTTATTGGGAAATTCAAGAGAAGTCCTTATCAGGACTGGTGTTTAGAGCATTTTCTTCTGGTTTCTCTTTTTTTTGAGGTCCTTTTGTTGCAGTTTTTGTACAGTTTCTCGTTGTACAAAGGACCGGTTGATCAATACAATTATACTTTACCTTTTCTCCAAAAAAAAACAAAGATAAGTCCTTAGCAGTCATCGTCTGACATTCCAAATGTAGGTAGAGTGTTATTTGATGCTTGGTACTATATGAAAACTGTAACCTGAGAATCTGACCACTTCTGTACTGAACCTTCTGAATGCAACTCAGGTTTCTTATATGGTTTCATTTTGATCTGATCCAGTGGACATGTTGATAGTTTACAACTTGTTTGTAACCTCTAAACTTCTATTGCTAACAATTTCATACCTGCTGCATATTTATTAATTGTTTTCTTATTATGGTTCAGGAATCACTATAGTTCTTCAATCTGAATATGAAGGATCATGCAGGATGTGGGAAAGGCATACAATGAGTTGAAACAAGGAGAGCCAGCTATAGAACGGTTGTTTGATTTGACCAGCTTCAACTTACAGGTATTAATTGTCGTTAACAATCTGCTTATCTATTGTATCTTTGATCCAACTGAAATTTCTATCCTAGTGTATTTGGGTCCTTGTTCATGTGTTTTGCTGCAGTAGAACTTTTTACTTATTTTGGTGCTTTTCCTAGATTCTTGCTTATTGTTTCATGAATAAATATTATGATACTAGAAATCCTGTTTTCACACTAGCAGTTATTAATTTCAGAAGTAGTAATAAGGGTTTGGTTCCTAGGCATTTCAAAATTGCTCTGTACAAGTGCCCTGGTAATTTTTTTTGTGTTGGCAGATTGCTATTTGGGTCCAATCTTGATATCTTCTCGATGGCATATTTTATTGCTCTAGTTGTTTTTAGTTTATATGATATTTGAAAATGAAAACTGCTTGATAACATGCCATTCTTACTATCTGGCAGTTATGTTTGTATTAACTTGAARTTTCTAGAGAAACACTTAATTTCTTCCAATGTGACAAAAACATTTTTCCTTTTCTTTTGATTTTTTGCTATGTCAAACAAAGTTATTAGGTACATACTGACACCTTTTTTGAGATAAACTTACTTTAGTTTTAACTTTTTAATTCTATGCCATCCATGATCCATGTAATGCTTGATATGCTTATTCCAAGAAAATTCCATTTCTTTTGTGCATTTCCTGATATGTTAGAACTACAGACGTGTCCATGTTTTTGGTATTATACAGAGTTGCTACACCAGTCATTTTATATGCATTTCAGACAAATGTCTTTCTTTAGCATCATAATCATGTTTGTATGGCTTAGCTTGTTATTCCTCAATGTAGGTGATGGAGAAACCAGATGCAATTGATTTGGACTCTGTTACAGGCGATGTGAAATTTTGTGGTATCTCATTCAGATATGGGGACAACATGCCTCTTGTTTTAAATGAGTTGGATCTCCACATCAAGCCTGGTGAGACAATTGCACTTGTTGGGCCTTCTGGGGGAGGAAAGACAACCCTCACAAAACTGCTTCTTCGCCTTTATGAGCCGTTATCTGGTGAGCAATCTTACAGATAAAATATTGTTAAATAAAATCACGAGCAACTTTTCTTAATCAAATATGTAGTGTCAGACCTCTATGTGCTTGCTGGAAACTTGACATTAACAGTGATGATACTTTGACTGATGTGGTCCTTTCTTCTGATACCTTTTCCTTTTAAGTTTGCAGGTTGTATACTTGTTGATAATCATGATATTCAGAACATACGATTGGAAAGTCTGAAGCGACATGTTGGTCTGGTTTCTCAAGATATAGTGAGTATTAGTTGTTTCATGCTGTTCTGCTACACTCATTTGTTTCTAATTAATATGGATGATAAGTTCAACCTGATCTGTAACTTTATGTGAATATGCATGACTTCCTATGTTTTGTTTGCATTATTTACACATGTTGGTTTAGTTGTTTGGTCCTATTTCCTTGACTTGTATGCATTTTATCATGGCATTTTTTTTCATAGTATTCGAGGTTCTGAGTGTTTAGTTCTTTCCTAAATATTTATTACAAGTTCGATAATATTTCTCAACTATTCCTCAAAACAGTATTACTTCATTGTTGAAATATTTTTTTTTATGAGTATTCATTTTTGAAACATTCCATCCTCAAAGGTGCAAACATTGTTGGTGGATTGAAGTTTAAAAGCTAAAGCCAGTTCTGTAGTGCAAATGTGTTGATTAGATTGGAGGATAAATTTCTAAGACTATAAGAAACAACCATGCTTTGTGGAGAAAAAGTGGAAACAAATGGAGAGGCAGAATTGAAAAGGTGCAGCCTGAACAACCAAGTATTAGCCTAGGGTTGACAGAATAGAAGAGTTGACTGAAATTATATGAGATATTGGTAGTGGCCATCAAGAAAATCAATGAGAAGCATGGTTGGGAAAGTTAATGTTTCAGAGGAGAGCAAGGCAAACATGGACCAATACACTCACGTGAACCGGTTGACCTGCATTTTTTTTTATCAATAACTGCCTGCTGACCTTCATACACAATAATCCTGCTACATGATGCCTTTTGTTGTTTGGTGTAGTATTTTAATTTTTTTTTTTACCTGTAGACTATATTTCTGGCACTGCTAGAAGCATTTACAGTGGTTAGACCTTCTATTAGTCTACACATAACGTATATCTTTTCTATTGGACAAAAATAATGAGATAATACCATAACCATAGTGTTATTGGTTCTACATCATAGTCCATAGAAAATGGGGCAGATGGAGGACTCTGAGATTATCCATAAAGCCAACTGATTTGCATCTTACAGGGTATCATCTGACCAAAAATCGTGTATGAGATTTTTCAAAAAAATTGATGGAGTTTTCTTTTTGCAAAGAATTATTCTTGATAATTTAATTTGATCAGATGGTTGGGATCAATAGAAGAGATTAAAGGAGCTGGCATATGGGTAATTGAGTTTGCAGACTTTAGATCCTAAAAAGATGAAATCAACTTTGAACAGGTTATGGATTATTATTTTCAGGTCTTTAATGAGATACAGATTGGTAGATTAAGATCGGAAATTTCTGAAAACTTTATGAAGAGAAAATAATAAGAAATAAGATGCACATATCCGTCGTGGCAATAAAAAATAAAAGTGGAAGAATGCTAAAAAAAGAAGAGAATAAGGGACAAGAAGAGGGGAGGCTGTACCAACCTGGTTGCCAAAGAAACACTTCAAATTCATAGTTTACAGATCATGTTTAAAGCTTTAAAGTCAGTTACAATATGAGGGCTTCTTTATAGATTTAAATCAATGGGACAACCAGACCTTACAACCTATTTCTGAAATGAAAAAGCAACCATCTGGCTTATTTGCAAGCCAGGGCCTGCAAGGGACAGATGTTCCCTAAATTTGGTTGGAGTACTTTATGGCTTACATTTGGTCACATAGAATGGTTAAGCATATTCATAGAGAACCTACAAATTACACAATTGCCACTACAACRCTAAATTGATTTTTCTGTCCATGGTTTCTTCTTTTCCTTTGCACCTACCCATTTGATTCTTATCCTTGTTATTTCATGAAAAGAGGTGAAACAATTCACTTTGGCTATCCTACCCTTTTTTTTGGCTTGATCATCAACAAAGATGAATTCATTCATTAATTAAAAAACAATTACAACAAGGGGTTGTGATTACAATCCTTGGCTGTCCTACTTGGGTTAAACTTAATTGTTGGAATGAAACCTCCTACCTTGGGGATTGTTAGGGCATATGCTGCACAGTGAGGCATGCAACTCCTGTGAACTACAGCAAAAGATTCCAATCCAATGGATCCCCCAAAAGGCAGAAATTCTAGCTGTTCAGCACTAATACATACAATTAATCTATGGTGCTAAAGGTTTCATCACACGATTATCCTATTGAGGTTGTCCTTAGCCTCAGGTGGGCACAATCATGGTTCCTTCAAAAGTATTTCTGTAGCCTCAGGTGGGCACCAAGATCCAGTCCATATGCCTTTATAGTGGAGATACATGTTGCACCTAAACTAAAGTGTGACAGAAAATTAGTATGAGCAGAAGTATTTCTGTAACCTTTACACCATCTATCAGATCAATGTCAGGTGTTTTTAGATCTATCCACAAGTTTTATAGTTTTAAAAGGTTTAGCTCATTAAATATCTATATGTCAGACACTTTTTTCAGGAACAGTTGCTGAAAACATCGGCTATAGGGATTTTATGAGCAAAATCAACATGGAGAGGGTTGAAAATGCTGCTAGAACTGCAAATGCAGATGGATTCATTAAAGAGCTTCCTAATGGGTATGAAACCAATATAGGACCAAGGGGCTCACTTTTAAGTGGAGGCCAGAAGCAGCGGTAAAGTTTCAACAATCAAATATTTTTAACCTTGTAGACTTGTGTGTCCGAATTCATGTCAAAAGTTTCTGGACCAGTCTGTGAGGTGACATTAGTTAGGCAAATAAGTAAACCAGTTGGTTATTGATGTCATCAATGAGGTTGTTTCTCTAACTAAACTTTTGTGCAGGCTAGCTATTGCAAGGGCACTCTATCAGAATTCCTCTATACTGATTTTAGATGAAGCAACTTCGGCTTTGGATAGCAAGTCAGAGGTGCTGGTGAGACAAGCTGTGGAACATTTAATGAAAAACCATACTGTAAGGACAGTAAACAATATTGTTCTCTCTTCTTCAAATTTGTCTTTGAAGTAACATTCTGATTATAAAAGATGCATCATTTAGCAGATAAAATGAGAGGATATTATTATGATTTTTATTTATATAAGTTGACAAAGATTAACCAGGTTACTTTATGGGTAGCAAAGCCCAAACCCCAAGTTGAACTTCTACTGCTTCATCTGATGTTGATTAAAAGAAGTCCAACTTGAATGGTTGTATACATAATGTCATGCCAAGTACCAAGTTTTGACATATCTACACCCTTTAGCTTATGATTCCTAGTAGCATTTTTGAAATGCAGCAAACTCATTGAGAAGTGTAAGTACATGAATGTAGTATGATATGAGTAGCATGCAGTCCCAGCAATGGGAGTGACCGAGTGAGTGATGTTTAATTTAGGTGGTGGGACCCACTGCATTAATTCTATTCCCCTCCATTTCATATGTGATGTTAAATTGTTGATAATCAGTTGTTAATGGTTTAAATGTTTGATATTTCTTGTTAAGGTTCAAAGTCTTACTCAATTGCATTTCCACTAATTTATGTAGGTACTGGTGATTGCCCATCGATTAGAAACTGTTTTAATGGCTAAACGAGTATTCCTTTTAGAAAATGGAAGGCTGGAAGAGATCAGTCACTCGTCTCTTGTGGCCAAGAGAGGTCACTATGGAGTCACAAGTGTCTAGTGGATTTATTTTTATGATTGTTGAAGAAGGGTGAGAACCGTGGAAGTGGAATCATGGCAACAAATTATTAGTACATCGGTTTTTTCCTAATTTACCAAGGATCCAGCTCTTTTTATTTTATTTTTACTTGGTCCAGGTTATGCTTGTGGAGGGGGTAAGGCTCCGTGCTGCTCACTGGTAAAATCAACTTATTATTATTATTATTACTATTTTTTGTTGGTTCTCTGAATTTATTTCTTCTTTTAGGGAAATAGTAACGAGGCTTATTGCAAGCATATTCCATTTGGTTATCTACAACATCACTACACAGCTGTTAATGATAAAAAATTGAACTCATATGTTTCAAGTTTCAACTTTCAAGAACCAAGTTATGGACCCACCCGAACAGCCATCTACTTCAGTGAACCGGGAAAAAGATGCAATACGTTACCACAAATCTACAATGCAGAACTTTCTCTTATATGTGCTATATTGACATTGTCAACAGACTTGCACCTACATTGGCTAAAATTTACACCTCATCTGTTCTCTTTGCTGCTCTGTTTTACAAAAACATCGGATTCGCTTGAGCACACGGCTCATGGGTATTACAAATTGAGAATCATCTGGCTAAATGATGTGTGTATTCACCTTCACTCCCACCCTCAATATGGATGCTGATAGTACAAAAAAACTAATTTTGATTGGAACAATTGGAAGCTACAAAATAAAAAATCTGCACATTTTTCCTTGTTCTTAACGATTGATCAAGATGTAATTTTTCCTTTATCTTGTAACAGACTAATCTGTCGTTTATTTCATGTATTCCAAGACAGAACGGGTGATCTCTTCAAGGAAGGAAACAAAACCCATTGCAGTAGTCAGACCGCTTCCATCAACATCTTGTTCTTCTATAAGATAATTCTCAAATGCAGTTGCATCGTCTTGACCTCCACGGATAAATATTAGCTTTGGTGTGATACTTCTCTCCTGCTTCAATTTGTTAATTGTTCTCCTCAATAAGCCTGAAGCACACAAAATTGTTTGAGTGAAGCAAGAGATGATACCCAAAATAAAATGAAGCAAGAGAATTCTTCTTTTTCAAGTCCGGAACACAATCAATAATTTAAAAAAAATAACTTACAATCATGTGGAGGAGGAAAAGGAAGTGTGGCGTCAGCAGTTGAAGAATAATAAACAATGAGAGTTGTGAATGCATCTAGGAAAAATATTGGACTTCCGCTGGTTATAAGTGCAGCACGACTCAAAGAGTGTCGGGGGTATGCATGCTTGTCTGGTGTAGCATATGATGTCAGTACTGGATATACAGCACGGTGAAGAGAACTTGGTTCCAGGGCACTGCATGTAAGTTTCAATGAGTCAAAACGGTCAAAGCCCCCATCTAGAATCAATCATCTTTCTATTCGCAAGCAATTAACACATACGGTGAACACAAACTAAACAAAAGGGCAACTACTCATCKTAGATGGTTCTTTGTCAGTTAGGTTTTTACAAACTGAAACATTAACTAAATTAATTCTAAAATTCAACCATATAATGGGATCTGGCAGTGGAGGGAGATTTTCATAGACATGTCCATGGAATGAGGCTTCAGGAGATGTTCATTCTCGTACTTATTTTCATTTGCTGAAATTATCAGCTCCTTAAAATGACAAATTCCAGACGGGCAATGCAAACATCACTTGATATCTAGAAAAAGTGCAAAGAAATTGAAGAAAGACTTTCTTTTCACAATTTGGATGCAGGTGGACTCCACCAGGGTTGATTTCTCTCCACCCAAGAGGAGAGGTAAAATTATGTGGATTATGCACCATGACAGCAGTTCTGTGGACTACATGGGAAAAAGAAGAATGCAAGGATCTTTCCCATACCATATAAGTGATCATTAAGAGCATTTCTGTGAAAGTGGCACATCAAGCAAAAAAAAAAAAAGACTTTCAGTACCTTTTTTTTACTGAGGGCATTATTAGATGCTAAAAAGAATGTATCAGACTCCTCAATATGACTTCAGAGCGGTCCTGCTTGAGAGTTGGGACAGATTTGTTAAGTTGAACTTTGATGGAAGCCATTTAGGCAATCCCTGAATTTACGAATTGTAGGAATGTTCAGAGACTGCCTTGACAGAACCTCACTATTTGCTCTGGGCCCACAAGATATTACAGATCTACAAGGGCTGAGTTGTTAGCAATTTTACAGGGTTTGAGATTGGTTAAATCCCTCAACTATAGGGATCTGGCAGTGGAGGGAGATTCCAAAGTGGTAGTGAGATGAATTAAGAACAAAAAGGAAGGTTCTTGAAGTATAGAGATATCATGACAGAGATGAAGCACTAGGCTGAGACTACACTCAACTGAGGTCAGAGAGGTACACGCCAGTTGTATTGGGGGGTTTGTCTTCCAAGGAGATTGATAAAAATTGGATCACAAAGAAAATTTTGGGGGTTTGCTTTCCAAGGGGATAGATGATAATGTTTTGGAGGATACGTAGCTTGGGCTAGCATACCAAAGAGGGGTGCTTGGCATATGTTTTGCTATTGTAATTTATTCTTTTATCATAAATCAATAAGTTCATATGGTTACTGATCATTAAAAACAAAATTAGGGAAAGAATTCACAATGATTAGGCAGAAAATGAACTTCATGGAATTTCACATAGGTTAAGAGATGTATGATTGCAAACAAAGATCTCAAAATCCTGCAAGGTACCAATTCAGGAAATTAGCAGAAGATTAAGAGACTTGACGCTAAGAAAGGCTCTTGATTTTTGACAAAATTCAGACTATCATTGATATTGATGGTATATTAGCATTCAGCAAAAACAGATCCCTACTAATTCTAGGGAATTTCATATTGCATCGGTGTATTAATCAAGTTTTTGGTAAATGTGAAACTTCGGTTGAGAAAATTGGAGCTAAAGGTGCAAGACATGAACTTGAATGGTTACAGAGAACATGATAAAGAAATAGGAATGACATATTCAGCCTTGTCAGCCAGATTCCAAGATTTCAAATATGGCCTGTTTTCTAACCATAATTAAGTCGCATGCGTTTTCCTTTTATAGTTGATGGTGATATCACCCAGATTATTTAAAACATATCATACAATGTTTCCAGGTAAAATAACTATTTCATGCACTACTGAGGAAATTATCGGATACCTGAAAAGGCATTGCAAGTATATACGGTAGTCAGGATGAACACCTTCTTCATGGTAGCGAAGAAGAGGACTTCTAAGCAAAGCAAATACAAGGCGAGGTACAGGTTGCAACTGAGGGCATTGTGAGAATGCTACATCAATATGAGAAGTTGAACTTCCATTCTCATTGTGAACAAGTTTACAGGCATCATTATACTGAGCTGTTAGGATTACTAGCCAATCATGGAGTAACATCCTGCCTTCCCGGACTCCTTGCTCCAAAGAGGCTAATATGACCTGGAGAGGGCAAATATTAGCAAATAAGCAACATAAAGCAATGACATAAAAGTATTATATGAGGATAAGCTACATTAGTCCTGTGATTGATCTAAGAGTACATTTGACCACTTCTTTCCCATTGTGATTCAATTTGACTGCTGAAATTCCCATGCGTCCATTCAATTGTTGCATGAAACCAGAGGAAAATGTTGTGCCCTGGAGCTACAGAAGCAAATATTATAACAGGTCCCAGCCATCTGGGGTCTTGGGAGGGGTGGACTGGATACAGACACAAAGTTTGCCACTCTCARACAGATTTTTGTTCATGCTTGTCAGCTTGATGTTTTACCATTGCACCAAGTAATGATCCCTTAAAAAAGGAAATAATATATGTAACCAAAATTCAAGGACTTGAAATGTTGGTTTGCCAATAAAATACCGCACCTGACAATGATTAACTGGGTTCTTTATGTAAATTCCAACTTCATAAATGGGTTCTCCTTTTAACACCTTAAAAGACAAGAGTGTCAAAGGGAATCTATTTGGTATCAGTTACCAAGTGATAAGAGCCAATTTTTACAATGGCTAGACAAAATTTGAATAATTTTCTTAATGTTACTGATGTCCCAGGGTAAATCCAAGGAGATTAACATTTCTCCTCATCTGTTAGTTGCATTTTATAATAGATTTATCCACCCACAGAAAACAAGTTTTAGAAATTATTAAAGAAGAAAAATTATTAAATAAAATAGAAATTATTAACAAAGAAAAAAACAGAAATTATTCGAAGGCATAGGAGAGAATCCTTTTTTTTTTTCTTTTTTGATAACAAAGAAGAAAAAAAATTAAAGAAAATAGAAATTACACCAGACCCAGTTGAAACCTAACTCAGCCAATTATTCAATTACAAATCATTAGAGGACAAAACAAATTTTACAATATTACAAAAGTGCACCACCATCCAACTGAAGTGATGCCCATAAATCCAATCCAAAAGAAGATCTAGATATTTCTCTAAATTCAAGATGCACTAGAAAATGATACAATATAAGAGATACAATAACAATCACAATTCTTCTAATATCACTACATTTGCATTTTTCTCTTTCTTTTGTTCCATATGCCCCAACAGATTGCAAAAGGAATCAAGCACCATAGTAATTGTGACTCCTTGCTTCCAGAAAAGTTGGCCTTAAAAAAAAACACTTTTGAACAGTAAATTAAGAATACTCAAACAAAATGGAGTTCGAAGGACAAGAAGGGTTCTCACCTGCCGGTAAGTGGAGAGAAGCTCTGAGAATAGAAAATAAAGAAATGCTGCTGGAGGAGATATTCTACCAGAAGGACTTTACGATCAAGATTAGAGAAGAGAGGAACGGTTTTGTTGGTGGGAGATGCTGTTCCTTGGTTTCTAGGTTTTTTAGATGGAGCTGCCCAAGT